AGATCATTCTATTTGGAGTTAATCAGAGGCGTACTCAGACTATTTGGAGCCCAGGGCGGATTTATAATAACCCCTAAAAAAAACTGAATCACGTTTATAATGATTAAAGACCGAATTTTCATGTTATTGCACATTTTGTTCGCTCAGGTGTAAAAACTTCAAACCCGACAATCGATGCGATTCACGATCTGTAGAATAACATATTGAAATTTCGTTTTGCACGAAATTGCACATTTTATCATTTTTGGGCTTGATTTAAATTTTATCAGTATAAAGTAAAACACCTGCAGTAAATTTCCTTTATAACATGTACGGTATGTATGTAAATATTTATCATATATTATATTAAGTTTGTACAGGGGTACCCATCCCTCCTCCACGGTCGATGGTGCAAGAACCTAACCTTTCCCCCGTTCTCCCAAGATATTTTATTGCTCACCTTTCTTAAAAACAGAGCAAGCTAAGGTAGAATTAGAAAATGATGAGTGCCTTTATTCAGGACCGGATAAAGCTCTAGACAAAAAAGCTACAGGACGGCCGTCTTGCGTAACAGTGGCAGCAACAGTATCATCTGAAGCGTCGGTTTCTACGGTGAATGGGGCATTATCCTCAATTGGAGTCAATGAAGCATTTTCATTTTCCCGTTTGAGGTTGCTGAACCCACGTAATACGTCTTGTGATAAGGGAAACGTACAGCGGGTTAGAGGCAGTATTTTCGTAGAAAATTCTTTTATGTAAGTCGAGTAATGGGCGAACATGGCCATGGCTCTCCTCAACGAAGACGTGTCCGTTGGACGTTGCAGATCTAGTGGAGGTTTTAGTATATATGGGTTGAGTTGAATGCTCTTGCTACTCATTAAATATCCAAGAAGCTTGATAGATCTTAAAGAAAAGGTGCTATTTTTATTGTTTAGCGTTAGATTGTTTTGCTTTTGAGCAGCATCCACAATTTTTTTCAGATTTTCCTCCTGTTCTCTTTGATCTCTTCCACAGAGTGACGTCGTCAATATATGCAAATGAATCCTTCAAGCCCTATTCGCAAATTATTTGATCTATCACTTTTTGGAATGCGGCTACATCATTGGTTACTCCAAATAGAATCCTTTTGAACTGGAAAAGCCGACCATGCGCTTCAAAAGCAGTGTAGGGCTTATTTTTGTCTTTTATAGGAATTTGACGATAAGCGTTAAGTAGGTAGATGGTACTAAATACTTCATAATGGGCGATCTTATTTACTAAGGACTCTATTCGAGGAAGTGGATATGCGTCCAGCAGGATATAGCGATTTATAGTGCGAGAGTAATCAATCACCATGCCTCTTTTATGATTGTTACTTGAAGTAAGGAGCATTTGATCTCTTCAAGGAGATATACTCGGTTCAATCACCTCGTCGATTAGGAGGCGTTCGATCTCAACTTCTATAGATTGTGAATCAGTTTTAGATTGTTGACGTGATTTTATCGCTGATGGTTTATAATCCGGTGAAAGATACTCAAAGAATGATGCGGGTGGAACATTTGCTAAAGCGAGACCAAATACAGTGAACGTTGCCTTTGGGCCGCCAAAGGACAGGTTCACACTTTCGTGCTGCTTGAGTATATCATTTTGTTCCCTAATATAATGAGGTGTAGCACTCTCATTTTGTTCTCTAATATAATCAAATGTAGCACCCTCAGCCTCCCCATTATTACTAGATTTGCAATCATGTACCGCATTGATGGAACCTATGGGAATCTGATAAGACCTTGTCTTAACTTGAGCTAAAATATTGATAATGCCATAGAAAACCTTAATACAACTATAACAACGAGTATAAATAATAACACATTTGTTAATAATAAAAGCAATAATTTAAGACATATTAACTTGCCACAGCATATTCGAATCTTATTAAGGGATAAACGCAGAGCAAGATCGAAGTGGCACAGGACTAGATATCCTTCAGACAAAACACACTATACCGAATTGACTAACAAACTGAAATCAGAAATCAGAAAATATAAAACTCAACAATTACAGAACCTAACTGAAAATATTACAACAACTGACAAATCACTATGGACTGCAACCAAAAAACTTCTGAAGTTTAAAGACTTTAATCACCCACTTCTTACTGAATCCCAAACCTGGTCCAAATCCGACGAAGAAAAAGCCCAGTTATTCGGTCAACATCTGTTCCAAATTTTCAACCGACATCCTGATATCCTTAATCTAACCCACATCGAATGTATTGAATCAGAACTGGATACTCCTCTCCAAATGTCCCTTCCACCAAAGCATTTCATCCCACAGAAATATCCAACATCATTCAAAGATTACCCTCCTGCAAAGCTCCTGGACATGACCTAATAACATCCCAGATCTTGAAACTTCTTCCTCGAAAAGCCATCCTATTCCTTACTTTCATATATAATGCTGTACTCCGATCCAAATATTTCCTGATCCTTGGAAAATATCTATTGTCAAAATGGTCCACAAACCCAAAAAGCCACCAGAATATCCATCCTCTTATCGTCCCATCTCTCTGTTACCCATCATGGGAAAAATCCTGGAAAAACTAATCTTAAAACGCCTGTACCCAATCCTAGATTCTAATCACATAATCCCAGATCACCAATTTGGATTCCGCTCCTCCCATTCCACTATACAGCAATGCCATCGTGTGGTAGACGTAGTATCCTCTGCATTGGAGCGCGGTATGTACTGTACGGGAGCCTTTCTCGATGTTGAACAGGCGTTTGATAGAGTTTGGCACCCGGGACTGCTGTACAAACTCCGAAAATTCCTACCATCTACCTACTTCCTCATTATCCGTTCCTACCTTACTGATAGATACTTTAAAGTAAATCACAACAATGTCTATACATCCCGTTTTTCCCAGTCTGCAGGTGTTCCTCAAGGTAGTATCCTAGGTCCTATCCTTTACACAGTTTATACAGCTGACATCCCAACCCATCCCAACACTGTCATCACCACATATGCTGATGACACATGTATCCTATCAGTTAATAACGACCCATCTATTGCATCCCAAACCCTTCAATCCCACATCACAAACCTTGAAGAATGGTGTCAGAACTGGAGAATTAAAATAAATTCCAATAAATCCCATCAAATTACCTTCACACTTCGTCGTAAACCAATGACTTCCTGTCCTTCAGTATCCTTTAACAACACCTCACTTATTCCTGTTGAACAAATCCGTTACCTAGGACTCCATCTGGACAAACGTCTAACTTGGAATCCTCATACCAGACTGAAACGACAAGAAACAGCTCGACGTTTCCGACTACTTCAACACTTACTAGACAAACGCTCTAACCTTCCAATCAATTATAAAAGACTGATTTACATGACTATAATAAGGCCTATTTGGACTTACGGAGTTGAGCTATGGGGCTCCACCAAACCTTCAAATTCCTCTCGCATACAATCCTTACAATCCAAAATCCTTCGTAAAATCCTCAATGCTCCTTACTTTGTTACAAATAAAATTATCCATAATGACCTTAATGTTCCTTATGTATCAGATTTGGCCCAATCTAGATATCTGTCCTTCCATAATAAACTTCATAACCATCCCAACCCTCTTGTCTCTAACCTTGCTTCCTATTCGATTCCTGATAACCCTCCGAGGCGTCTGAAAAGAAGATGGCCACGTGATCTTCTAATATAGACATATTATTAGAGTGCTACCAATGGGTAGTTCCTCAACATGTGTTCCATGTCTTTATACCAATGTGCGAATTTACCAGATGTATTTTTTGTATACAGTTGTAAATACCATATAAATAAATAATAAATAATTAAATAAACTTGCGCTAACTCAAGGGCTCGAGCTCCTTCGTGAGCTTCTCTTAATGTTAGCTTGGTACACTCAAGCAGACACTGGCGGATGAAATTTGATTGCAAGGCACTTATAAACGAGTCTGTAATAAGGTCATCGCGATAACTTTCAGTTGAGACTGCAATAAAACTACATTCATTGCGTAAAAGTCTAAGGGCCCTCTATGTTTTGATCAACGGATTCGTTATGTTGCTGAGAGCGAGTATTCAGCTTATAGCGTGCAAATATTTCGTTGATTGGTTTTACATAGAGTAATAAATAATAAAAAAAAGGCTTAGCAAACCCGAAAGTTCGATGCCGACACCACCAATCGCTTATTACACACCTCCCCTCCCTCCACCGTTCGCCGTCCAAACCCAGTCCCTTCAGATCGGCTTTAATGCAATCTTCCTACCTTCGCTTCGGTCTACTCCTCGGACGTTTACCATTCGATACAGCAAATATTAACCTTTTAGGAATTCTCTCGTTACTAAGCCCAACAATTTTACAAGCCCATTTGATTCGCCGCGATAAAATTACCTCAATTATATTACCCGGATACAGTTCACGCAATTCGGCGTTGTGTAACCGTCTGAACTCGCCGGTTAACTCATCCTTCTTCGGTCCGAATATTCTACACAATACTTTATTTTCAAAAACCTTAAGACGCTGCTCATCCCTTAATGTAAGCGGCCAAGTTTCGCATCCATAAAGAACTGTAAGTAAGATAATGGTTTTATAGATTCTAATTTTTAAGTTTCGGGACAAGAGGCGCGAGCTAAGTAGTTTTGTCACAGAACAATAACAAGCATTTCCCGCCTTCAGTCTAACCTCTTCTTCAATTTCATTTTTTCTAGTTATCGTAGAACCTAGATACCTAAATTTCTCTACCTGTTCAAACATATTACCTTCTATATCGATATCACCAGTAGTATCACCATTTTTGCAGCTAACCGTATATTTTGCTTTATCCGTGTTTATTTCGAGTCCTAGTTCTTTACCGGCCTTCATTAGTATTTAGTTTTATAGTTTCCAGGTCTTCGCTTAACAGTACCAGATCATCAGCATAGCCCAGCGCGGATGTTGTTGCACCCATATCCAACCCTTTCTCGGGGTTTTACATAGAGTCCCTTCAAAATTGTTACTGCTCCAATATATGTATTTGCATGACTTACCTGTTGGTAGACGTCAAGAGATATGTAGTTAAATAGAAGCTTCCGTTTGTCTCCTTCTGCAACATTGGCGGCGGCTTTTCAAAATTCTTGAACCAATGCTCCCATGTTTCCCGGCAGAAGTTGAGTTGGGGTCTATATCGAATCGTTTTGGTCTGAGTAGTCTTTCCATTTCGCTCAGTGTCCGATTGTGAGTTGAGTAAATTGAAATGAATTAAATTATACCTTCAACGTAAGGTTTTATTCAACTGATAAAATACAAAAACCTAATTTTAATAAGTTTTAATAACATATGTTAATTTAAATTCTAACAGTTAGAAGAATAATTATGCGGTTTTTAATAGTAACGATTGTCATGTAACAACACATCGTCTTAACATAAAACAATTCTAAAACATGCCTATGCTAATCACTTTTTTTTAATATGAAATATTTATAAACAAATATTAAAAAGTAAAACACTATTATATAACCTAAGTACAGTAAATAAAAAGTACTTCTTGTACCGTATGTAACCACTCCCAAAGAAAGCAAAAAGTGGGGAGGTAGGCTATATTAGGTTTTCTTATCTCTTGTAATGCTGACACGTCTTTGTTTTGTACCTGAGTGAAACACAAACTGTTACCAATGTCGTAAGTGATATAGATTATATATTATTTTACTAATTTAATATTAATGATATAATGATTGCTAAATTACTCTTTTGCCTAGTGAGAACATTTCTTTATAACCTTATATTCTATTATAATATCAATAACGGTGACTGTTTGCGTTATGTAATTTTTATGAAAAGTAACTAATATTAAATTGTTTTGACTTTTTTTTTTGTACATTGAAATTTAATCAAATTTATTAATCTAATACCGTAATTTTCTATTTGTTGTTGGCAGACTAGGATATGAATTACATGCTGTAGAGAGCTTGAATGCCAGTGGTTATGATGCTATACTACTAATTTCCCATAATGGAAGTTTGGATGAGACAATACCTCAGCAACTCAGAGATGTTGTTAAGGAAGCTGCAGCTGTAAGTCTTTTAAATTTTAAATCTTCAAAGTATGTTTTGTAAATTTGATAGATTTTGTTTTTGTTTGTTATGACACTTATTTTGTATTGTGCTATAATATAAACAAAACTAAATTTTAGCACCTTCCAGGAATTAAATGAACTTGCAATACTTTGTAACAGTATGAAGTTTTGATTTACAAACATTTTTATAAAGATTATGTAACGAGTGACTAGATAATATTTTCACTACTTGGGTGGCTAATTTGATGTTTTGGACCTTTTTTTTATTGATTTTTTTAATGTATTAGTTTAGTACTTCTAAATTATTGATATATGAATAGTTAATAATAAAAGTTAATTAAATGGGGAATATTTGAATGATAGCTAATTATTTCAAGTTATTTACAAACTCACATGTGTCAATCTAATTTGACAGCTGGTCAAAATCAAATTGATCACACGGTAGATTGAATTACAGAAGTAGTCCAGTGAGTCCACCGTCAAAATAGATGGAGGCTATCGACCTCCTTTTTAATCTTAACTGACAAGGGTTTGTTCAATGAGCAGAATTCTAAAGCTGCAATGTAATTAAAGCAGTAATAATTTTGATAATGAATTTTATGATGAGTAAGGTTCCATGTATCGAAAATGGTTGTCAAAACTCACCTATTTTTGGAATTATTTCTATTATTATGTGATCTTGACTCAAGTCACCGTGTTATTATTAAGCAAAACCGAAAACGTCATATATAAATTAAAAATAAAGGTTAATATATTGACGTTTTAATAGATTTTATTTTATCTTCTTTTTGTATATCATATTTGAAAGTAATTAATTACTGTGTATATAATTGAACTCGCAGAAATAGTGATAATTGAAGAATAGAAGGCATTAGTGATTGTTATTCACTATGAAAAACTTCCTTGATCATGGTTTATTGTGCTGCTACCTTTTTTTCTTTGAATAAGTCCAAATTGTATACTTCTGATAAATTTTAACCTTCTGAACATTACTAAGCATAAACTGTTTAATTTTACGGTTGATAAATAACTAACATTATCCACCTTATCTTTATTTTCTTTTGAACTTTGATATGTCTAGATATTGTAGACCTCTTATAATTTTTGCAGAAGAAAGCGTTTCATATTCGAGCAGTTGTAAATTTATATAAACAATCTTTTCTAAAAATAACCTCACCATAAATATCATTGTAAATGATTATACTCCTCTTACACTCCGCAGTTATTGCCAGTCTCCTCTTCAACAAATATTTATGTTTAATTGTTAAAACCTATTTACTAGATAAATTTGTTTATTTTCCAGTTTGCTTTTTAAATAGAGTTTTCTTCTCAAGCCATTAACAACTTTTTTTTTTTATTATCTTTTTTCTGTTTTATTTATCTTTTCATCTCTATTCTTCCTTAATTCTTAATTTTTATATCCAGAAATTTATTTTTTGAGGATTATAATTATCATTAATTTTTTTTATAGATAAGATTTCTCATAAAAAGCAATTAGAGTTTAATATACCTTTAATTTGAGATTTTTCATTGTCAAGCAAGCATCCAACAATTATTGTGATGTCCAAAAAAATATTATTATTATTAGTTGATTTATATTTTTAATATCTTTCATTTATCGGTTAGTCTTTTAAAATTGTTGATTACTAAGACATTTAATATTGCATCATTAGTTGATTGTTGAAATTTTACTGTTGACGAAAGTGATGTTCATATCCAAATATCTTATAATCTTGTTCGTGTAATTATGTTATAATTTAATTGATTTATGAAAATTACTATGTAAATGTATTAACTCTTGTGCATTAATTGTTTTTTGTTTTTTTTAAATGGAATATACTTAATTCTGTGGATAATCTTCCTGTAATATCTATTACCATGTCTAATTTTTTATGCAAATTTGCATTAAATTAAAATATATAAATTATTCATTGGGTATAATTTTATTTTCTTGATATTTTCATATCAAAGTATATTTTTAAATATAACACAATTTTGTACATCAAAACTAATTTTGTAATAATCTAGGTTTTATTCTATAATTTTTTTCACTTCTGTTGAATTTTTAATATCTAGCATAAACAAAATTGCAGGTCTAAAATGACAAAATCAAAATTAGCCACAGAATTATGACAGCATGACACAAAAAATGGACATAAATTTGATTTCGGGGTCGGTCTTACATAAATTATACAGAATACTAACAAACGAAGAATAATTGAATCAATATTTATTACTAAAAACCTCAAAAAATTGTTAAATCAACAGACAGATGCAGATGACTTAAATACTTTTTATGCTAGCTCAATAGATAAAATTAAAATATAATATACTGATATATAATATATAAAATAAATTATTGATAATAGATAAAATAATATACTGATATATAATAGATAGGCCCCCTCGCGACCATATTGTATGGTAGGTAGATGATAAAAATTGTATAAAAAAAAAAAAAAAATTTCATAGATAGATAAAAATACATAGATAAAATCCTATCTGACTTAACATTTCATTTCTGTAGATATTTTACACAAACAAAGAACAAAGAATCAAACACAACAAAACCTTACAATAACCTTCTCCGTCCGTTTACGAAGTTACCAATATTTTATACAGGACCCTAGGCTGCATTATAATGAAGAGCGCTAGCGACCATATTTAACAAACATTTCGTAAATAATTTTCTCGGCTTTACACATCTAAGAGGCTTACAATACATAGCACTAGTTGCATGAATACCCCTAATACATTTAAAATTATTTATTATCATACATCTTTTGTTTATTGTAGCTTTAATACACACACATATTTATTTATGTAACCAAAAAGAGGAAAACAGTGAGCACTATTTTGCAATTTGGTAAAAGTATTTCTAAACCTGGTGTTTATAGAATTTAGACAATGTAACTAGGAACATTCATGAATTCAGCCATTTCTTTAACATATTTTTTGAAAATAAATCTTTCATAAAATATCGAATTATTTCCACATTAATGATATTGTATACTAAAAAAAAAAATACTTCTATCGGAATATAGAGTGTACAAATATAATTATTGAATTATTAAATGATGATAGAATATTATGTATTATTATTTCTTTTTAGCTGGATGCACATCTGGAGGAGGAAATAAGTGTTATTAAGATAAACCTACCAGCTAAAAGATTAATTTATTCTCCAACTGGGCCTATCAATTCAGAATATCATGATGTAAGATCCTTTGGGGAAGCTGCTCGAAAGGGAATCATCAGGTGGGAAAATTACAAAATAATATTTGATTTTGATATACTCATTTTATAATTAATTAAAAAAAATATAAGATACTAGTGGTGTATAATACGGCAAATATATTCTAGTGTTATATATTTTCCTTCTTTGTAATGGAAAGAATCTTGTGACAATATAATGTGAGATATAAATACGCTACTAATTATTATTGACTGTTACAGAGCTGTTAAAGCGGGTGTGAAATCTCCACTTTTAGTCCTGGGAAAATATTCAGCTTTCCCGCAAGCTCAGCTTGTTTCCCTACTTGGAGTCATGGAAGGACTTTATATGGTAAATATTTTATTTTCATCAAAATAAAGAATATACATTTGTTGTGTATTATTTCTAAAAGATATTTTTTTTTTCCGTTTTGCCTAATGTCTCTTAATATTCCATCACTAATGAGAAAAATAAATTCAAAATTAATGTATCTTTTAAAGTTTTGACTTAAACATTTTTACCATGATGTGAAATTTCTCATAACTTAACTTTGACACTTGAATGTTTTTATTTTATTTCTGTATTCCAAGGCTTGTAACTATAGAACTTTTAATTAAAAACTTAAATTTTAACAGTTTCATTAAAACTATTAAAATTATAGCTTTTACAGAACTTTTTTGCAATAAAGTTATGGGTTTATCTTGAATGAATTACCTGATTCTAATATTAAGAATGTACTGCAAAGTTGCCATTTTTTAAACTTTCTGAATGAATTGCGTTATCAGAACTTTTGAATTAAGTTTTTTAAAATGAAAGTTCTATACAACATTTAATTTTAAAATTCTATTACAAAAGTCCAAATAAGAGAAAAACAATGGAAAATAAAAGTTTCAGTCACACCATAATTGATTTCAAAAACAAATGCTGTGTGGCAAAACCTTCAGCAAAAGTAAATTTTCTTCTTTCATGTCATAAAATCCTTAATCATTTGTAAATGGGCTTTTCCTTTTGGTTCTTCAAAAGCTATTTCTATACATAAATTTTAAGTCATAATAAAGCTAAACGTGCTTGACTCATGAGCAGTACAAGATATAATATAGGCTTCTATGTTTCTTTTGTAATAATGACCATTGTGGACAGAACTGTACAAGCACAGAAGACAATTTTATTTTGATGAAAAGATTAGATTTTATTTTTATTTATTGAGTATTACAACAATCTGTCTCTTGAACATTGGTTATAGTGAGGTAGGATAACATTCACACTATATGTACAAAAAATATAAAATAAATAGAAGCAAAATAATAATCAAAAGTATATACAATAAATAATAAAATAAAATCACCTAAAAATAAGAAAATTAAAACTAAGCAAAAAAACACATGCATACCTATATACATACAATACCTAAACACATACAGCCAGGCAAGGTAACTCCAGGAGAATAGTACCAGTGATTTGATTTTAAATATTTTTTTCAAATTATAGATTTTGTTTATTGTGAAGTGTTAATTTTAAATAATCAAATTTTAGTTTAACTTTTCTTTAGAGTGCTACCAGTGGGTAGTTTCTCAACAAGCGTGTTTCATGTAATAATATTTCTCTGTACAAATTTACTTGATGTATTCATACTAATACAGTTGTAAATATCATAATAAAAGTTTAAAAAAAAAAAAAAAACTTTTCTTAAAATTGAGTTAAGTTAATGCTGACAATATATTTTTCAAACTGTAAAAGTTTTCATTTTTTTTTTTTTTTTTTTTTCGTCCACAATTCAGTAATTTCCTATTATTTTTCAAACCAAAATAATATTCTTCTTTCTTTTCTTTTTTTAATGTATTTTTGTGTTTTAGAATCTTCAACTCCGTGAGGATTGTCCGAGCAAGTTTCCAAAAGTTAGAAGTGTTGGTGTCCTTGGCTCTGTTCCGAGTATTTCACGACTTCTAACTGTAGCTTCAGCTCTTGAGAGTGGAAGGTAAAATTTTTCCTTTGTATTGGATAAAGTATTAACATAACAAGGAGCAGTTATATGCAAACAACTTGAGGAAGGACCTTTTAATGTACATTTGCCTAATAGTAACCTTTTATTGTTGTTATTGAATGTAAAATGAATCAGTTTAAAAAAAAAAAAAATAACAAATTTTAAAAAATCGTGTTATGATTGACTAGTAGTTGTGTGCTCATTTAGAGAGAGAAGACTATTCTCTCTCTGAGCTCTCAGCCTTAGCCCTGCCCAAAAGTTTTTCCTTTAAGTTGTTTACCTGATATACTATAAGTAATTTGCTATTTGGAGCTATTATATAGTAATTAACACATAATTTTTGATTTGCTACACTATTTTTAAGGTGTATTAGTTAAATAAAGAAAATGTTTAATACTATATTACCACATCCTTTCTAAATTATGTTAATTGTTTTACAGATTAGTAGCAAGAGATATTGGTGCAGCCGATCCAGAGAGAATGACTCCTAAGAAAGCTGAAGATTATTTGAGGGAAGCATTCCCAGGTGGAGGAAATGTGAAAATGGAAGTAATTTCTGATGAATCTACCATGAAGGCAGAATATCCGCTGTTTGCTGCTGTTAATAGGGCTGCTTCTGGTATAAATAAGTTTAAGTAAATATAATAATTCCGTAGAAAGAGTAAATGCTGTTTTAGAATAAATTTTGGTAATCAACTGCTGAAAATTCTCATCAATTGAATTAAAAATTAAAAATATTACTAAGGTGTGTGCTTTAGACCACACGATAAAAGTGAAAACATCAACAAGGCTAGATTAATAATATGAAATAATATAAATTATAAGTAATAGCTCATTATAAAGATGATGAAATGCTGAACATTTCCCTCACCTACAGTATGTAGGTTCGATTTATAATTTGGTTTTTGACACTATTTTTTTCCTTTTTGCCTCTCTAACACAGTGTCGCATTAAGATACAATTTTGAATAATTGCCCATCACAGAGAGGATGAAATATTGAACAATTACCTCGCTGACAGTATGTAATTCCTATTTTTAGCTAATGAGATATTTTAATCCATATCTTCAATAAAACTCGTTATCATTTGATTTTTGACACTATTTTTTCCCTTTTTGCCTCTCTAACTCGTCTTCTCGTTAAGATACAATTTTGAATAATAGCTCATTACAAAGAGGATAAAATGATGAAAATTTCCTTCACTTACAATATGTAAATGCGATTGTTAGTTATCGAAATATTTAGTCCATAGACAAAAACACTTCAGTTAGTCGACTCCAGCCAACTTTACCCGAGCGTTGCACATCCGAGATCTGATGGCTTAATCTAATTCACTCTCCAAAAAAAAAAAAGTGCAAAACGTGTCTAAGGAAGTTTTCACTTCAAAAATTTAAGTTCTTGGTAACAAAAAAGAATCAATTGAAATTAACAATGTGAAGCCAAGATATCCCCTATTGTTTTGTTTTCAATTTCTTTAGTTATTGTAGGATAATAACATTTTTTGACTTAAAAACAAAATTTTCTTTTTAATTGAAATGCATAAGAACATGTTGATTTCTATAGTATTATGTATTATAATTATAACAATGTTTTATAATTGAGTTGATATGTAATAGATTTAAATCCCCCCAAAAAATGAGAAATAACATCAGATAAAATTTCAACGAATTGTATGCTTATCGTGTTAGTGATAGAACTATAAGTATTGAGTCTTGTGGCGTTCCTGGTGGAAAACCCTTATAATCTTGAGTTATTAAACATGTTATTTCTATTTGTTATTACTGAACTATAAGAAGTTTGAGGATAAAATAGTTTCAGTTGATTTTTTAGATATTCATTAGAGATTTGAAGAAAAAAAAAAATATGTGAGTGTTTTACAACTACTTGGCAGAAGTGAAAAAAAAAAACATTAAGTAATTAATTGTGGATTGATGGTTGACTGTGGCGAATAATTGAAGGGAAGATTGGTTGGGTGATCAGTAAAAAATAAAAAGTAAAAATAAATAAGTTGTATTTATTTTTGCCGATGTTTCAGACTTAAGTTCAGGGCTTAGAAAAAAACAGATAACAATGGGTCTGTGAAACTATTAACATTAAAAAGAAAAAATAATATGTAGGTGAAAGAAGGGTACTTATTTAATAGCGGGTAGCCTCGAAACTTCCCTTCTTATCTAATCTCATTTCACATAACCCCTTATCTCATCTAACCTAAGTTATTCCCTTGTTTATTTTTTGTTTCTTGTGTTAGCTGCGAGTTAGTGTTATTTAATTATGGATGTTGTCACATTGTGGAAATTGCCGTCTTCAGAAGAAGAGTATAAAATATTTTCAAGACGACGGGATATTTGCAAAGGTCAAATATTCTGATGAAGGTCATAAAATGAAGTTCGACGGGAAGATTAAATGGAGATGCTTTCGTAGTTGTAACAAAACTGTTTTTAAAACAAAGGAACGTTGTTAGAGGTTTGTTTATATCGAAGTGTTTTTTTATTATTACATTTGTTTTTGTTGACTATTTCAATAATATCAATACAATACAATAAATATGAATACGAAGAGCTTATCAGTGTTAAGGTTATAAACGTTGGCCAATAGCAGTCGGACGCTATCCGTTATTAAATAAGTACCGAAAGAAGTTAGGAAATCATGAATAAAATAATAACAGTAACAGAGAACTATAAAATAAATAATAACGCAACAAACTAGAGACTTATAAGATAAGGTAACATAAGATAAGAAATGAAAAATGGAATGGAATGATTTATGAGATGAAAAACGTAAGTGTAGACATAAAATATAACTTTTTTTTTATTTTCTATTATTGATCACCTCCAACCAATCTTTTCTTCATTAAATAGATAGCATAAATCTTATTTATTTTTTGTTTAGTTCTCTGATCGTTGTCTTTGATTTAAATTTGTTGAGAGAAATATTCAGAGTCTTTCTTACAATGCATCATGTATCTTTCAGATTTATTTTTAAATATATACATATAAATTTTGTTTTGTTTTAAATCGAAATGTGGTCCATTTCCTTATTTTAGTGATTGACCGCCATAAGGGAAGAATTGTATACCTCACTTACGAAGGATCAAATGTCACTGATACGCTGTTAATTGTTGGAAAAGGAGTCACCTTCGATTCAGGTGGTGCTGATGTGAAGGTTGGAGGTAACATGATTGGGATGTCGAAGGATAAGTGTGGTGCTGCGTCAGTAGCTGGCTTTATGAAGGTATACCGCACCCTGTTGCTTTCTTTTATATATTAATTTGATACAACGGGTTTGTGCTAGAAATATTTTTAATATTAATAAAGAATTGCGTGTTAACTAGTGACTCGTTATCTAAATTTTGGAAATCTTAAAAGACATAGTCATTCATTCATGGTCACCATTCATTTATAAGATTATCAGATTTTAACATTGGCAATGCGGGAACATGTGGTATTGGGGACCATTGACTGAAGTGGAGGGGAAGTTCTTGATTAAAATTTGGTTTATTCAATAAGTCCAAACAATAGTTCCAAATTTGTGTTATAATAATTAATTTTACATAATGATAACCTCTTGCAAATATTAATCAGGTGACATTCATCTGAAATAAGGTTGAGAATTTAGTTCTAAAGTCATATTTTTGAGAAAGAATAATTTGATGATGTATTTGACATCTAATTTATGACTTCAATAATAACACATTTTTAAAGTTTTAAATGTTTTGTGCCAGCAGTTTGTACACATTCATGTACCTCTTTTTCAAAATTATATAAATTTATTGAAGGTGACAACATTTCGGTAATCGAAGTAGTAAGTTAAGTTAATTTGCTGATGCCCAAGATTTAACCTTTCCCTTATCAATATATTTTTTTTAATAACGATACCTCATTAAAATGATCATTTTCGTGTTGTTTATTATCATTAAGTCCAAACAATAGTGGTCAAATTTTAACAACAGATCAACTATGCGAACTATACTAAGCAGTTCTTGACAATTTATTAATAAGTAAGTGAATATTAATTCATCATTAAATTTAACATTACCAAATTTAAAAAATAACATAAAACCTATCTCCAACCAAAATAGCTTCATGGATACTAAAAACCGTATATTTTCTTCCTGTTCTCTGCCGTTAGCTAGCTTTTCATGCATTCTTTCCCAAAATCGGGACTTTTTCAAAATGCCGCATGGCTAATCTCTCGTAGTTATTTGTCATAATAAGTATTTCATGAAATTATTACATTATGTTCTAAACTTTTAATTTGATTTCAAAATCACTGTTCTTTTTGGTAAAAACATATTATATTTATTCAATCGTTATTCTTATCCTTTTCATATTTATTGTTCAGTGATCAATTAAAATTACTTCTCACTTCCGACATTGGGGCAGTTTTGCATTCTTGCTACTCTCCTGAAAGGCCTGGGTTAAATTAATTATGCACACAAAATTGAAAATTTGGTCCCATTTGTGTCTGTAGCCAGACTGGACAGACTGTAGCTCCTTAACGAATGTACAGATTTCAATGAAACTTCGCTAAAGTCATTTTCTCGACGCCCTTTAAATTTATCTATATAACATGCTTCAACGAAAAGAAGCTGAAAAAAAAGTTACGAGGGATGGTAAAATTAAATTCCGAATAACTCGAAAACTTTACACTTTTTTGTTCATATAGTTTACGAAATTTCCTAAAAAACAAAAAAAAAAAATCGTTAAAATCGGACAATTAGGAGCAAAGATATGGTCTCCGGTTTTTTTTATATGTTCTACTCCAAATTTTATATCCTTGGTTTGGTTTTTAAATTTTGAATGTGTTACTGAACTAATGCTATTTTTTTTTTAGCATATTACTAATGATTAAAGAAAAACAGTTTAGTCCAATATTTGGAATCACCTTTTGTTTTTTTTTTTCTTTGTAACTCGGAAGGTAATGTTACTTTAGATGTATAATTGTTTGGAAATAATAAACCATTATGAAATGATTTGCAGCGTTTTTATTATGTATCTATTTTTAAGGTTGAATTTATAGCTATATTTTTCTTTGTTCTATAGGTCATAAGTATGCTGAAACCAAACAACTTGAAAGTTGTAGCCGGTCTAGGTTTAATTAGAAATAGTATAGGTGAGAATTCCTATGTTGCTGATGAAATCATAACCTCACGATCAGGTAAGAGAGTGCGTGTCATAAACACTGATGCTGAAGGAAGGATGGTAATGGCTGACATTCTTTGCTACGTGAGTACTTTATCTATTGCCATGTTTTTATTTCTGAAAATTAAAATAATGACTAATTATCTGTTGCCACTTTTACAGCTAAAAGAGTTGGCCCCTAAGCTCGTCAATCCCCATCTGTTTACTGTTGCCACCCTAACTGGCCATGCGTTCAGGACTGTCGGACCTGGTTATACTGTATGTACAGTTTTTCCTTTTCCTATTATTTTCAGTCATTTATTTGAGATATAAGTTTTTTTAGCTTTAATTGAAGCATTCGACTTATACTTTTTTCTCTTAATTTATATTAGATTATTTTGGACAATGGTCCTGCAAGGATGAAGTCATTCTCATTCCATCTACAGAAATCAGGAGAATTAACTGGAGATATGTTTGAAGTTAGTACCATTAGGAGAGAAGATTATGAAGCGTATAAAGGTGATATTTTAATTGTATTAATTATATAAGTAAGTTACACATTCGACTCACTGAAAAAGTATTATTAATACATGTTTTATTTATGGTTCAGGTAAAGTTGAAGGAGAAGATGTTTTGCAAGCTGAGCACTTGCCGTTCGCACAAAGCAAAAGGGGCCACCAGGGACCCGCCGCCTTCCTTGTTCTTGCTTCAGGACTTGATAAGGTATGTTGTTTTTTAATGAAATAATTAACATCAGCTGTGATAATTTGAATTTAAAATTTCGTTACATATTATTCATATTGTTATTAGTCTCTTTAATCTGATCACAAGCCCACCAGACATTCCACCGTATACAACGCAATCATAATCGAAGTTAGGGAATATGAGAGAGGAAACTAGGAGCTGGCGGATTTTAAGGGGCATAGAGTCACGGAATCTCAGGAACTGTTTGAGGGTAGCAATGGACTTTCGAATAATTTGGGAAATGTGATTATTCCAGGACAGATGTTAATCTAATGTTATTCCAAGATTTCTCATGGAAGTGTGGAAACGCATAGGTATCCCATTGAGGTAGGATAGAGGATAATCTGATGCTTGGATCCAATGAAAATGGCTTTGGTCTTCTCAACATTCAATTTTAAATCATTGCTCACTGCCCAGGAATTAATACTGTCGATATAAGAAATAGGGTTTATGTTATTTTGATTGGTCTTAATGAGTTTTTGTATTGATGAATATGACTGAAATACAAGAATATGTTGTTTAAGATTTACCCGCATTAAAAATTCTAAAACTTCTTGTAATAGCCCAAATTTGCCAGACAAGAATTTCTTTTCGAAGTAGAGTGGTAAATGAAAGTTGTGTAATGCGCGCACCAGATTTTTGTATTTTAAATGTCTTTTATCAGCCCTTACCATTTGGTGAAGACAAACTAGCTCTGAATAAAAAAGGATGGTTTTCCATCATTTAACTATTATCTAATATCAAGGTATTATTTATGTTACAATAACATTGTAATCTCCTGGACATATTGCTTGGAAACGGTAGAGTTTTATCACTATTGCAATCAAACTTCCTAATTATAACTTTTATTTTTTTATCCCGATGTGCGTCGGCGTTTCTGATTCCATCTGCCTCTCCTGGATCCAAATATATTTTTTCAAAACTGATATTCTTAATCGCTACATATTACTCAGCAATATCATTGTTATATATAAGTTTTATAATTTCATTTTATTTCCTGTATATATTATAAATATATATTCCATATTTTAATTGTTTTCATATTTACTAGCCTCTTGCTACTTCAAATTTATATTTTATTTGTATCAACAGATAGCTTTTAATTAAATATTTTCTAGCTTTTAATTAAATATTTTCTTTTACTTTTGTCAACAGCATGCTCTAGGCACTGAAATACCCCTGAAATTCACTCATGTTGACGTCGCAGCTTCATCGGGTATTTTTGGAGCCGAAATTGCTACTGGTGCTCCTATCATCGGCTTCGCTACACACTTTTTAAACCTCAAAGACAAAGATTTTTAATTAATGTCAATACTGAGAAATTGGAAACAAAAACTAATTTCTTCTATGATTACCATTATTTTTTAACTCTGATTACCATGTTATAATTTAAACAAATGTTACTAAAAGTTTATGTTTATACATATACATGTATATAAAACAGTTTTCTTTTGATATATATATATTTTTTTTTTTAGTTTTATTTTTAAACTAAATACATACTTGATGTTCTTAACTTTTTAAATTGTTATTTTTCATTGGTAAACCTCAATCACTTACTTCCAGACGTTCGTCTTTGTACTTGAACTCAATTTATAATTTTTGAAGAGAAAATTGGCTTTAAAAAATCTTGGAGTTAATTTATAGAAAGCCTAGCTGATGTACTTGTCGTTGACGGGTGTATAGTTAAAATTTGAGAATTTTTTTTTATACTATGGAGAGGGCGATCCAAATTTAATTTCATAAAATTGGGTGGGGGAGAGAGGGTTGTTTTGAAATTTTTTATATCGGGGCTTATGGAATTTTATATCAAGGTTTCGCAATAGTCATAATAAAAACTTTGTTATTCGGCTATTTGTTTAGGTGCCACACAACTAAATCGACCCCCACCGATCCATTAAAATTTTTTAAGTGTTTAATTTACATTTATGATGAAGCGAGGAGATAGTAGGGTCAATTGATGTTCAGTATTTCAGATTTTTACCGTTGAGTTGTGATCATTTTTTCCATCAGCTGAATAGTACAACTTTTAAATGTGGCTCGTGGTAGAGTAGATTGGGATGAGAATCGAAGTAACTGCCTAACCGGGATCTCTAGACAAATTACTCAAGAATTCATAACTTTCGTTCTACTCAATATTTTGTATTTATTTAAAGCCTATGTTTTAAGTCAAGCAAACCTAAATATAATGTCAAAATTTAAAAAGTCTGCCATTGCCGAGCTTACCCTTGACAAAATTTCGTTGGACAATGTGGACATACAGACTGACAAAAATAAATTGCTTAAAAATTTGTTGTCTGTAATGTATGAAACGGAAAGATATCATGAAACTGGTTGATTCTATTTAATGTACAGACAAAACCTTTATTTTATTTATATAGATAATTAATTTTTCAACAGCTATCATTAAAGGTCTTGGAAAAAACATAGAACTTTATAACTCTTTTGTGAACCTAACTCAAACATTTGATAGGATCAGGAAGATATAAATAGCCTAAGCATTGAAAGAAAAGGAAATTTACCCAGACCTAATGAATTCCATTCTTAGTCTATGTAAAAAGCAAAGAAACATCGTGAGAAGTAGCACCCATATGTCTAGAAAGGTTAATGGTGAATAAAATTATACTGCGAGGTGTAGGCACAGGCTGGAGTCGTAGCTAGCCTCACGCCCTGGTTAGTTTAAAGATGTAAGCACACACCAGTGCTCACAGAGAGGGTGGCTCTACTATGATAGCTTTCAATCACTCATCAATACACTCAAACCAGATGACTGGGCGGAACTCAGTCACAAGCAGTTGAACACTGGTGTCCTACAGTGGGCAGTCGCATACACACAGCCAAGCAGTGCAACCACTCTTGCCGTCCACCCAAAACTCCGGCGACTCCTCTTAGCACCAATTTGATCAGGTAAAATTTCTTACTTGACCTCAGAGGACGATTGGTCTCGGGCTCCACGATCATTAAGATTGCTACGGCTTAAATCAACTGCCGATAGTGCAAGAGGGTACCTGAACATCCACAGTCGATGAAGGATAACTTGAACAGAGGGCTCAAGTTGAGAACCATCCCTGCTCTAAAAAGGTTCAGAGTAAATAATGAATGAGACGGAACTGAAGTTTTAGTCCATTATTGTTTATAAATAATTGGTAAATGGTTGACTGTCGTGGATAATGAAGAGAAGAATAGTTGGGGTGGTCAGTCAAAAAAGAAGGCAAAAATAAATGATTATATTTATTTTTACATATGCCGACGTTTCAACCTGAAGTTCAGGCCATCATCAGGGCTAAGAAAAGAACCAGATAACAAAGTATGAGAAATGTAAAAATTACAGTAAAATGAAGTTAGAATAATGACAATAGTAAGAACAAGAGACAAATAATAACAACAGGTACAATGTGTGGAATGATGAAGTAAACATAGTCAAAAAGATAACAGGTGTACTGATATTGGTAAATAGAAATTTTCAAATTATACAAAAACTAAGTTATACCACTCTGAAACAAATACTCTCCTACCACCAGGCTTAAAAGTAAAATGAACAACTTTTTCTATTTTAGATGCAATATGCAATATCTACATTATGGTAAGAGGTAAACCATTTCATAAAAAATATTTTATATCAATGATCAGAAATGAATCTGTTGATCAAGGATCAAATTTTGAACTATTTAAATTTGTAATAATAGTGGATTTATAATAGTTGGTGTTGTCCAAAATCAGTCTTGGTCATGCACTTTGCAAGATCAAGACCGGAAAAAAAAATCCCTTTTATGAAGAAAAATTAATGTAAAATAGTCACTAAAACTTGAAAAATTGAGTTGCCATATGTAAAGAAGTGGTATAACCAATATCATTTGGAATTTAACTCTCAATTTTCCATTTGGGCTTAGTTAGGTTTTCCGTATCTGAAAAATTACAGTAATTTCAAACATCTCATTTCTCTATTCACTAGTTTCATTTTGCTGTGGAGCACAAAATATACTTCAGAGAATTTGTTGTTTACATTGAACAAACTTTGGATCATTATTCTTTCTATAATCTATTCTTACACCACAGAAAGAACCTTAAAAGTAAATAATGATGTTGCTTTTACAACCCTTATTTCTTAGTCTGCCTGTGTCCCTTAACAGGGGTGCCAAGAAGGGAGTTTCATGCCACAAGTCATGCCAAAATCTTAATCTTGGTATCATCCAATTCTCCAAACATGTTAGAACAAATGAATACATTTTCAAGAATTTAGTTCAATAATTACTACTTTACTTAGAGAAGCAAAGATGCAAACATGCTAGTTCCAGCTCAAATTTTTTTCCAAAAAAGTTCGAATCTCTTAATTTCAAATATGAAACTGCTTATTATAAGTAGGTAAAATTTGACACTTTTTTCTTATGTGTGTATTCGCTTCCTAAATATAAAATTTTCATTAAAAACTGTACTGGGTGTCCTGACCCACCCCTGTATGATATGTAAAGGAATGACCCATGGTATTTATTCCATTTAATAAAGTAGAATTTTTATTTATTAAGAAGTAAAGCACTAATTTAAAAAAATATTCTTTATAGTTTGTGTAGATTCAAGAGTTTTTCTAAATTTATGTGTTCTTGGTTAATTTTTGTAATATGGTAATTTCTAATTTCCATATTTCTTAATTCTATTAAGTTTTCTGTGAAGACTTTACACGTAAATTAAGAATACAACAATTTTTATGAATTGAAACTGTAACATAGAAGCACTGTTTGCAAAAGTGGTGTAAGTAATTTTTATAATAAATAATTAATTAAGTATTAAGTGCATTAACTGATTGGATATGCTAGAGACAGATTATTTTTAACAAATAAATTGAATTTATTTATTATTAATTTGTTGAATTTCTCCATAATATTTGATTAATTCAAAACTTCAGTTTTTTACTTACACCATTTTAGTATTCAATGGCTCATTTAGTGTACTAAAGAAAAATCCTTGTATTTAAGTGAATTTTCTTGATAAGTTTTTAAAGAGATAAATTATGATTTGTTGAAGAATTTCTTTAAATGATTGTTATGCAATGATCAAAGATCAACAATTCCTCCGAGTGAGGTTGTCACCTACCTCAGCATTAAGATTTGAAAAAAGTTCGAAGTGATAGCTTATTTGGACTATTTGAAAAGTAGAGTGACCATAGCCCTTAACAGATTAAGTTGTATAGAGGGCACCTTTTGGGGTCTCAGATGCCTAGAAACTGTGAGCATTTATAAAAGTTTTATTTTGAGTAGCCCCTGCCTGGAGTCAAAATGCTCTGCTTCAAGTCACCAGATCGTACAGGACGGTGTCCATAGTATCTCCAAGTGAAAATAGAAGAAGATCGTAGGAGTTGGAAAAGGATTATCTGGGAGGATAAAGTAGAAGAGTGGAACGGGGGGTGGTTGACAACTCCAAAAGGAGCAACCCTGAGAAAGTATTTTCCCACCATCGCATCGCGACTAGAAGCAACTTGGGTCCTCCCGGACTACTACACCTCTCTCCCTTTCTGAATATCATCATTTTAAACTCTTCCCGATTAAATGTAAATTCCATTAATCACAATAGTTTTATAAATTTATAATCATAAGTTGAAGTCTATCTGGCATAAAAGCAATGAAGGCTTAAGTACACACTATCCTAATGATATGACATTCACTCCTCCTGCAACACAATCCTCTATATCATTAATGTACCCACTGAAAAGAAATATACTAACATTAAATTGGTTATTTGTGAAATGACAAATGTGCTATTTTTAAGATACAAATGTATGGATAAACAATCAATCTTTACATTAGTTATGTAATGTGTTTTCTGTTACTAAAAGATGCTTCTGCGAATAATGCACCCTGAACAGCTCTCAACTCAAAAGTGGTATAAATGTGTCATTTTTTAAAATAACCTATTCAATTATTCCCTAATAATAATAACATTTTATTATGTGATATACAATTTTAATGTTTACAATAATATACATTATTCCCATACTGTATCCCAAATAATATTTCAAGGAGTTCTGTCAATCCTTATTGACTTCACTGCTTGTTTAAGGTTTAAGCTCATTATTATTTTAACAATTTTGATTGATACTCCTGTGTTACAATTTGTAATATAATGCCTAGTAGTGAACTATATGTTTAGTTCTATAATAATTGCAGATAGCAAAATATATCAAACAAAGTATAACATGTGCCTTATTGTCTTTCTTCTGCAAATTTAAGATAATTATAATAAGTAAGATTTTAATAGAATAATATTTCCTAAATGCTGCCTATATTCTTTAACTAGTTATTGGATATTAATGAGTAAGCCAATAATTTAACTATTGGGTTTTCAAACTTGATGCCCATGTAATTCATTGTGTCATTCTTATCCTCTACTTTATGAACAGGGAATATGATGGATAAATAAAAGCTATTAGGTATTTCTCCCATTTCAAAGTCTTCATTAATAGAATTGTGTAGTTGTTTTAAGTAAAACATTGCTGTTTTTTTATTTTCAATACATTTTAACATTATTAAACTATTTATTATTTCATTTATATCTTTTAACAATGAAACTGAACAAAAGCATGAACAAAATCATTTCTGACACCAGAAATGAAATAGCAACTAACAGTTGAAGATTAAATGCAAATGAAATTAATGACTGGAAAATGATGATGGTGGGAGAATGGTAGGATTTTCAAAAAAATATGTATGTAGAGGAACTAGGAACTGGATACTGTCAAAAATTAACTTGAAGTGCAGGATGGTGGGTAGTCGCGGGAATTTCAAAAAGTAGGGGAAAGGAGAAGAGTAGTGGGGGCAACAACTGCTAGGCGGGTAAACTAACCTAACCAGGAACTATCATTGAGGATAAGCGCCCCCACCCCAGCCCAAAAAGCTGCGGGCATCATGTAAACTATTACCGTTTCTTTCTTCAGAAGTAATTATCCTAGTACATACATATAAAAAAAAAAAAAATCTGCCCAAGCATGTACAAATCTTAAACACGCAATTTAGGTTGCATACGACTTTTCGTTTTTGAGCCAGAATTTTTCAAGAGTAAAAAATTAAGAAATAAGAATTAAAATACATGTTAAAAGTGGTAGAGATTTAATAACTATAATTTTACAAAGTAGTACGATTCTTACTTATTCACAATTAAATATATGTACTTTCAAATGTCTCTTAGTCTATAGAACTCATAGACCGGAATTATAGGATTCCAATAGACTGATACAGTTATAAGGTTTTTAAAGAAAGAAAGTGAATTATATTCTAGGAAATTTAGTCCCCTCAGAATAACCACAATGAACAACGAAATGACAATTATCTGTCATTAGAATACAATTAAAAATAAATTAATTTACAAAGTTGTCTAACCCTAATATTAAAATAAAAAAAAGATACTGTAGTATATATATGATCTTGAAGTAGACATATAAATTTAAAAATAAATACATATGAGTGAGTTCACGTATTTGTACAAATAAGCTATATGGCACTAACACAGTTGTCTGAAAGATATCATTAAAATATGGCAGACATCTCCAAAGTACAAAATAACTTTATTTTTACATATATTCGAAAAATTTATTACTGAGGAGATGGAAAAATAAATTGTGTTTAAAAAAGGTCAAGGATGAGCATTTCCGTATAGAGGTTGGTAAGGAATTCCAAAACAAGGGGGACGTATGACGAATGAACAGAGAAACAAGGAGTAGAGAAATCAAGAAGATAAGAAGATTTTTGGTTGTAAAGGTTCGGAAAAGGAGTCCATCTAGGAAATATTGCCGTCGGAAAACTGGATAGAGCTACTTCAACTCGGCATAGCAACTGGAGACATGGGAGCGTCTGGGGACTCCAAGGATAAATCTAATAAAACAATATATTAGTCTCTTTAATCTGATCACAAGCCCACCAGACATTCCACCGTATACAACACAATCATAATCGAAGTTAGGGAATATGAGAGAGGAAACTAGGAGCTGGCGGATTTTAAGGGGCATAGAGTCACGGAATCTCAGGAACTGTTTGAGGGTAGCAATGGACTTTCGAATAATTTGGGAAATGTGATTATTCCAGGACAGATGTTAATCAAACATTATCCCAAGATTTCTCATGGAAGTGTGGAAACGCATGGGTATCCCATTGCGGTAGAGTAGAGGATAATCTGATGTTTGGATCCAATGAGAATGGCTTTGGTCTTCTCAACATTCAATTTTAAATCCTTGCTCACTGCCCAGGAATTAATACTGTCAATATTTATTAAAATTTATTGTCTACAATCGATATAATAAATAGGGTTTATGTTATTTTTATGGTCTTAATGAGTTTTTGTATTGATGAATATGACTGAAATACAAGAATATGTTGTTTAAGATTTACCCGCATTAAAAATTCTAAAACTTCTTGTAATAGCCCAAATTTGCCAGACAAGAATTTCTTTTCGAAGTAGAGTGGTAAATGAAAGTTGTGTAATGCGCGCACCAGATTTTTTTATTTTAAATGTCGTTTATCACTACCAGTCTCCACCCCTTACCATTCGGTGAAGACAAACTAGCTCTGAATAAAAAAGGATGGTTTTCCATCATTTAACTATTATCTAATATCAAGGTATTATTTATGTTACAATAACCTTGTAATCTCCTGGACATATTGCTTGGAAACGGTAGAGTTTTATCACTATTGCAATCAAACTTCCTAATTGTAACTTTTATTTTTTTTCCCGATGTGCGTCGGCGTTTCTGATTTCATCTGCCTCTCCTGGATCCAAATATATTTTTTCAAAACTGACATTCTTAATGGCTACATATTACTCAGCAATATCATTGTTATATATAAGCTTTACTAATTTTAGATCACTTGTTATTCATATTAATTTTATCTGCAAGTTTGCTAAAGGACCAAAAAAGTTTCCATCATATATCTACCTATTTCTGATAGTTAATCATTTATTTATGTTAGTGTGGAGCCGAGGTTTTTGAATATGACTTCCTTAGAGAACAATTTTTCTTCTAAGCAGTTCCTATTGTTGGAATGAGGTTTTCTCGGGTCGCTTTATTGTGTTTTTTTTTTTTTTATTAATTTTTGTAAGTCAAGCAATGTTCTCTTGCTTGCTTCCGAGGATAGCAAAAATCTGCTTATCCTAGGATTTTATTAATCATTCCAACTTTCACACCCTCATTTTCACGAGATGTTCTTATCCCATTCTCCTTTGCTAAGCTGAACAGAATTGGCGAAGGTCTCTCTCGCTTCTTCAAATTACGAAGGATACTTCTCTTATCCATGTGGAATATGGGTCATCTTATAAGCAACCATAAGGAGTGCTGTTCTTCTGTAATTACCATACTCATGCAAGGAACCATTCTTTATATTAGGACAGATTAGGCCCGTTTTCCAAGCCTCTGGTATCCTTTTCTTGTTCCACATTTCTGGATTAGTTGTAGTGGCTTGGCTCGTAGGGATCTACTCCATTTTTAAAGGATGGTAATGATACAATCATTAAAATCAATGGATTAAATGTTATGAATTATATTATATCCCCATAATATTGAAAGTAGACATGAATCTTTCCAAGACTTAGCTTGGTATTGTCAACAATGCGCTTGACGTTTTCAAACAAGGCATCCCAAGCTTGATTAATTTTTCTGGTCCATCGTATTGCTGAGATATGGTCGATTAATTGAATCTTACGTTGTGATAAATTAAAATGTTCCAAGAACAACGTTGCTTTAGTCTTGAGGAATTCTTTGCTTATATCTTTAACGGCTCAATATGTAAGGCATGACAATTTTGATAAGAATATGAGAATTTCTTATTCTCAGTCAATTACATATTTATAGTTATTAAATAAAAAAATTAACTTAAACATTTTATCTATCTATTATTATCTCTTTGCTTCCTTATAGGTGGAAGGGATATATAGATAAGATTCAACCCGAAGTGGGTAGTTACTTTAGGAACTGTAGTTGTTCTGATAGGTTAGAGAGATAGTCAGTTTTATCATTAAGTTGAGTCACTTCGTTTTGAGTCATGTCGTAAGTTTTTAAGAAAGATTCTAAATAATGTAATCGAATGTCCACGATCTCATGCCATTAGCATGGAATATAGAATCCTTATAAAATTACTAAACAAATATTAAATTATAAGAATGAATTCATATGTTTCGGTTAAAATAAATATGAACTATAAAAATTGGTCCTTAAGATAATTTTTTAAGATAAGTACTCTTATTTTATTGTCCCTTTTAGGTTAGGGTATGAAGTACAGGCTGTTCCTAATGTCAAAGCTATTGGATTTGATGGTATACTTTTGATTTCTTACAATGCTCTGTCAGATGAAGCAGTTCCTCAAGAACTTAAAGATGTGATAAAGGAAGCATCTGCTGTAAGTTTATTTTAAATAATTTACCTTCTGCAATAGTGTGAAGCTTAGATGATCAACTGTCAAATCTGAATTTTTCAGGAAAGACCAAAAGAATTATTTTAAAAACTACCCTAGAACTATTACTATCTATAATCATATAAAATGGAGTAAAAAAAAAATTTTTTATGTGTGAAATTTAAATCAAATTGTTTTATATTTATGCTGTTTCACACTGTTGCTGCTGATATGATCATTAATTATTTTTAATAAAGTATGGATACTTTTTTTTAAATTATTTTTTAGTTAATATAACTATTTTTATTTAAACTTTAAACATTTAGTGAAGACTGTGTAGTAATACAATCAGTTCACTGTTTTTTTTTTTGTCAACTTTTCAATGTTTGTTCAATGAATAGTCTTGAAAAATTTGTTTGTTTTTTTCATTTTAAAAATATAAATTTTTGATTGTATTAAAGTTCATTAAATATTGAAGTTAACATAACTGAACTTATATCTACATCTTTTGTTCAGTGTTGATAGATACATTTATCATAGTTCTTTCCTCCTACCATTATCAGGAGAATGCAGTTTCATAGAAAAAATATAAAGTTCTATCAGAGTATATTAGCCATTTTATTCTATCTCTTGTGTGTTTTTTAAATATAATTTTTTTGATAATTTATCTATTTTTTAAAGCTTTATTTATTGAAATATATATAAAGTAATAAATTTTTAATCTTCCATTGCTATATAAATTTATTATTAATTCATGTTATATAAGTTTGTTAATTTATTCTATGATTATAATTGCTTCATTTTAGAAAGGATGTTTAAATAGATCATGCTTTCCTACTTCAGAATAATGAAGTTCTAACTTCATCATCTTGTTTTAAAATTGAAAAAACAAAACATTTTATTGAAATTTTTCACTTGTATTTTGAATTTGTCATTAGATTCAAGCTGGTTAAGAGTAAAAAGATCACCTATACTTTTTTTTTTTTTAAATAAAAGTTATATCAAATGAACTATGGTCAAACCACTTTTATTTCTTTTTCGTTGTGAAATTTCCTCTGTTTTTTAAGTTCAGATCCTGATTTTTTTTTTTTTTTTTTTTGCTGAGTGACTGATCATCAGTTTAATGAAGTGAATAGTCAGTTAATGAGGACTCAATAAAAAAGACAGGCAATTATGATCATTGCGGAATAATAATCTAGTTGAAACTCTCTGAACTGGTTACTGCGCCCCTAATAACCTTGTTTAATATGATATTAGTGCAGTCACCAATTAGCAAAGTTGAAACTTTATCCAACTGACTCTTCACATCTTACAATTGTCAGACCCACAGTAGAGTGGACCCAAAAACTACTAGAATTTAAAAGTTTTATTGGTTTTTGAACATTGAATCTTATAATATTTGAATAATTATTATGATATATTTACTCACCAACACACTCAAAAACAATCTTACGAAGGAAGGCTGACAATAATCAAATGAAACTACATCTATAGGGGGGAGGGGTGTAGTTTTTGGAGAAGTTCTCCAAAATAAAAAAAATTCTTTTTTTTTTTTTTCATTGGTCCATATTTGTTTCTGTGACCGATCTGAGCTAAGTAATCAATCACAATATGCATGGCTTTAAATTATAACAGATATGCATGGTGTCACGTGTCACTATTTAAAGAAGACTATTGAGCGAACGAACACAGCTAAGTTCCGTTTAAAAATAAAGTCATAAATTATTTGTGATTTTTTTATCACCTTTCAACTGTACTGCATTTACTCCACGTTTAGAAATACTTCTTTGTTTAATAAGCTTTAAGTCCATATTAATTATTTTGATGTTTATTAAGAAAAACTTTGAGATTCATCTCAAGTTGTGTAACGGAATGTTATGATTTACTATCCAGTTAACTAAAAGTACCCGTGTTTTCAGCAAAAATGACTACAATTAACTGTTGCAAACCTTTTATTTTTTTATCCGTGATATGGGATGTATTGTAATACACATAATTGCCTTAAAACGCATTTTATTTATAAAAATGTTGATTTTTTATATTTGTTTCATGTTTGTGGCTATTAAATTGTGTTTTTCTCTCAGATTTCTGTCAAACGAATTGATGCGTATTTATAAGTGACAAACTTTAGATTTCTTAAATTTACATTTAAAATAAAGAAATCTACTGATTGCTTCTATTATTTTTATGAAAACATAAATACTCATTAATTCCTCTGAGCGAAAAACATAATTTCATAACCGCCTTACATGAAAAATATTTGATTAAAAAGATGGTTGCGGGTGGCAGTCATAAAGAGACTAAAATAATAAAAAAATACTATTTCATTTAAAGCCAACATTTCGACACGCCTTGGCAGATCTTCTTCAGGGGGTTGTATGCATTATGAAGTTTTGGTTGAAACTTGACCCCCAATTTCAATTGAAACTACATACTGCACGTATATAAAAAAAATGTATTTCTAAAAGCATTTTTTCTGTTTTAAATGCCTTCTAGTTTCCTCTCTCTCCCTCCCGGCTATGTGAGACCCATCAACCTACTGGAGGCAACTCATATCAAATGGGTGTAGGACTAATGATGCTTCTGGGTTTCCTACTTGAATCAGGAAGTGGTTTTCTATAATGTCAGTTTAGTCACCCAGATGTTTGGATGGTCTGTTTCAGGAAAAGAAAGATAGGTCGTGGTGGGCGGGCCTGCTGACTCGGAGCAACCATAATCCATGAATCTACATCCGATTGGTTACTGTCCTTTGAATCCGAGTGAGTCGGTGGGAAGGGCACTGCCAGATTGTCCCCAACAGCTATGCAGCTATAAGTAGCCTACCACTGACCATAATGACATAAGGTCGAGTGATCCCTTCTAGGCTCTGCTCCCACAAGCAATAAACATCTTTATGTTTATAAGATCATACCTCATGTCCAAAGATATATATATATAAAGCCCCTCTTCAAAATTAAATCCTAAAGCTGCTACTGGGGTCTGGTCACTCAGTTGAAAAGACTTATTCACCGCAGTAATTATTATACACTTGATTGATATGTCTGATTTATATTTATAAAAATCTATTTTACATAGGTCAGATCAACAACTCTAACAAACGGACAAATCTATTCATTAATAATCTTGATTTAAGTTGTATAGACAGGGTTAAGTTAGAGTTTAGTTTGGACATTTCCTATTAAATGGAATCAAAATAGACCAAATTGTAAAATTTTTTCCACTTCATCTCGAAACTAAAAGAGTTTCCAGAATGAGTTGGTTGGGGGGTGCGGTCATGAGTTTTGTTTGGAAATAACGATTTATGTATCGTTTTGTTATCCTCTGTGTTTCTGACATATGAGAAATTATTGTAAAATTAGTAATTCGATAATTAATATTTTTCTATTTCCATACCGTTTCTATATATTTTTTTAAAAGAATTATGAAATTAGTGAAAAATGGAAAAACTTAAAGAATCTTATGAGGGAAATTTTTTTTTTTTAATTATTAATGGAAATTCAATGCATCCTGTGCCAAATAGTTGGGATGAATTTATATTAATTATATTGGTGAAACAAGGTAAAATTAAATTTTATTTTATAAAAAGACAAGTTAAATAACCCGAAGGAAAGTAAAGAACTATATTATGTATCTTTCACTTATTTAATTTCTTATCTTTGTTTATTCTTTCATTATCAGTTGAAGGTACTTGGAGAGAGTGTGTTATATAATAAGCTGTTGATGCAAAGCCAACACTACTCATGATTACATAAATGAAGTGATTGATACTATGCATCAATCAAATTATATTGCTCTCAGAACTTTTGAATGTGTCAATATTTCTTGTATCTTTGTCAAATATAATAATTAGGGTACAATTATTAAACATTCCAGCTGTTAGCAACTGATAAAAAAATAAAATTAATTTTCAAGTCTTAAGTATTGGAATTTTATTACTTAAAAAATTAAATGAATGCTTACTATTTCAATATAATTTTACTTGAAAATAAAAAACCTTATATGATTTTCATACAAAGCATATATTTGGTGTCAGTGTATCACTTGTTTTAAATGTTCATTAATATTTCTATAATGTATTTATACTTACCGCATTTTCACTGCTCAGATATTGTTTTAATTAAAATAATGGGAAGACCAATAGTGGGGTGTGGAAGATTTATAACTGAATAGAAAGACTTTTTTGGAAGCTTGTCTATTTTTTCGTCTTTAAAAAAAAAAAAAAAACCTCTAATAATATAAAGTATATTATAATTCATGATGAAAATTTTGGTTCTAATTTTCGCATAAGTAAGAATATCAAAAGATCATTAGAAGTTTTTGGATGGGAGAAAAAATTATGAGAAAAGAATATTCGAATTGTGATTTATTTTAATTTTACTAAAAATATTGGATTCATACTTAGAAAATATTTTTGTTCCAAACTCTTTTATATTTTTTAAAATATAGTTATTCAAAAAAATTAAATGAAATAAAATTGTCATTTATTATTATTGCAATGTGAACTAATTTTTAATTATCTTTTTATTACCAACTGTCAGATGCTGCTGTTTCAGTAGAATATTTATCAGCAAATATTTTTTCTTTTATATCTCTTTGTAAAAATTAAAGTAGAAATATAAATTCAAGGGCATGATAAAGCTGTAATTCATTTTGTGAACTTAAGTGGTCTCATCTAAGAGCAATAAAATCTATTTTGAGAGTGTTTCTGCTTTAATACTTTGCTTTTAACCTAAACATGAGATTTCTCTTCATTTCTAATAACTATGAAATATCTATTCCAATTGTTTTAAATTTCTTCACAACCTGATTGATTTAGTTATTTTTACTCTAACAAACTGTCATGGCACTGTGTTCTTTGTTTGACCTTGCCCTTTTTAACTATTCTCCATCATTGAATCCAATTATCTGCAAACCTACCTTCTAGAAGTTGGTCTCCTATTGTCAAAAAGTCCTAATTCCTCTACTCATCGTTCTACAATTCTTCATTTTTGGAAATAGTTCCGCTGATTAAAACTAAGAAAAATAGCATTTGAGGATATAGAGGAACCAACTGCACTTAAATTTCGAAACAGTGGATAAAAGTTCATGTGGTAAACTAAGATATATTTGAGAGGATTATGTTAGGCTTGATCTTGAGATTCAATAAATGGAAATGAACAATTGTTATAAATTTGATGATTGTTGATGGTACGTAGTACTGCCATAAAAATTGTTACAAAGAGCTTCCTGAGGGTCAATCCGAGGCAGAGATGACCTTTGGAATGTTCTTTTGCAGCCACTGCTGAGGTGACCTGGCCTTGTGAGCTGGAGCGGAACCCTGCTGGAAAACCCAATGGCTTCCAGCAAACAGAGTATTGTTTAGAGGCTTGAAAACAGGTTTCAAAATATCTGTTTTAACTCCTTTTTCACAAAATTGGAGCTTTGTGGCCATCAAAGCAAACTCCCCACCAAACCATCACTGAGGAAGGGTGATGACCTCTTTCCACTCTTCCAATGACTTTCTGGGCTTCTTTAGAGCTGTGCGTACACACGATCATTTTGGCAATTAAATGTTTCTTCAACTGTAAAAATTTTCTCATTACTAAACAAAATCTTTCGATGAAGACCATTGGTGTAACGGCCAAGGAGCACTTTGCATCTGTCCACGCTAATTTTTTTTAGGAAAGTGGTTAGCCTTTGTCCTGTCATTCTTCGAAATGCACCCATCCTACTGTCTCTTTTAATCATGTGAGACATTAATCTGACCGAGATTTCCGTTTCTCGAGACGTGATTTGTTTTTTTTCGAATGAGATTTCTTCTGATTCGTGCAGCCACTGCTCTCACTACGTTTTCCATTCTCACAGTGTGGTGACGGCTGTGTATATCTGCCATATACAGATAGGGTCTCATTATATCTATTTATAATGCGGTACACGAACATACGGCTAATACCCATAGGTTTGAAAGTGTTGAAAATCTCTGACCTACATTTTCCAACTTTGTGTAAGGAGATCGATCACAGCTATTCGGTTTTTTTATCACCTCACTCCATGTTAACTGAGCTAAAGGAAAATACAAACTAATTGGGATTATTATCCTGGCATGTAAAGAACATAACCTGATAGAGGTAATGATTATCTAAATAATACCCAAGGATGTAAACAAAGTTCAACTTTTATAACAGTATTTATGGCAGAACTAGGTATAGCTTTATATTTATACTTTGAACCTTTACATTTATGACCTTATAATTAATATCTGGAGTGGAATAGTTCAGTGGGTAAGATCCTGCCTTTTCATGCTTATGGTCCGGGTTTCGAATCCAGCTGTGGCAGATTATTATTTATTCTATCATATTAGCCCCTGGTTGATCTTGGGATCAATTTAATACTTCATTCAGGAGAAAACATGGATGTTGAGCATTATGTTGATCATGTCTCTGTCCAACCATTGGTTGAAACAGTATTTCCTTACAAAGTACTGAACCAATGTTACTGTAACCCTTCACGGGTTGTCGTGTTACAGGTTTTTTAAAAAATATTTATATTCAACAGTTAATTCAGTTTTAACAACAATGGAACTTGTGTTAATTTATATATTGTTTGATTGTTTATATTTATTTGTTCAGTTGGACGACCAATTTGAAGAGGAAGTTAGTATTCACAAAGTAGATCTCCCTGCCAAGCGGTTATTTTACTCTCCTACCGGACCGATCAGTCCAGAATACCATGATGTAAGGTGCTTTAGCGAAGCTGCAAGGAAGGGGATAACAAGGTAAGGATCTTTTATTTTATTTATTCAAGAGAGGTCTTGATCACATTTACTTCTTGCTAGGTTTTTTAAAATAGAAGAAATAATTTTTAATAGTGGATTGATGGTTGACTGTAGTGAAAATTGTAGAGAAGTTGGTCGGTGTGTTCAGTCAAAAAAATAAAAAGTAAAAATAAATAAATGATATTTTATTTTTATTTTTGCCGTCATATCCGCCCAAAGTTCATGCCTTCATAAAAAAAAAAAAAAAAAAACCCTGTACCACTACAATCCATGAAGGGCCTAGGGTTCAGTACTATTTAGGGAAAGCACTGTTTCTTGGTCTAAGGTTGTGCAAGGATGTGATTTGGATGAGATCACGCTAAACCGCCAGGTTTATCCCCTTAATTAATTATTTTAATTAAGAATATCCACTTTATAGAGACTGGGTGTGCCCCAGGTCTACCTACCCAGGGTCGCCTCACGGCCAATGAAACAGAATAAATAATTTTTCTGCCATTAGCCGGGATTTGAACCTGGGACCTTTAGCATTGGAAGCTCAGTAAGTACCCTACCACTGCATGCAACTATCCAATTTTTAATGTTATGTCTCATAAATCAACAGAAATATCGTTATAATCAAAATTTTACATAATAAATTATATGCGAAGAAATATAATTGATATTTTTGACTCATTGATATTTTTGAAAATTTTAATGTATTTATTCGGGGTGTGTCAGTTCTCAATGGCCAAACTCTGGGAGATGATTCTTGACAAAATTTCCAACAAAAAAGTTCACTTGACGCATGGACCAATTCCGAACGGAAAAGTAGTTAAGACCAATTTTGTGTTGTTTTTTTATGGTGGTAAAACCATTCTTTTTAGACCATAATTTCTTGTTCTATAATAAATTTCTGCTATGAGATTATTAAAGAATGTTAGAAAAATTAAATTCTGAAAACATTTTTTTGAACTTTAACTGTTCTCTTTTGAAGTGTAAATAATTTTAATTCAAATAAACGTACCTATCTTAATTAGTCCTCTTGTTTATAACCAAAGAATGCAATTAACTTTATTAGATTACAAGATCAAAAAGTAAATACAAATTTCTTTGTTGACATGTTCTAATTATGTGAAGAGTTATCATTGATAATAAATTTTAACATAGTATTATTTAAAATTAATTTTTGAAGTTCAAACTGCATAAAGGAAAAAAAAAAACTTGCCTTCCATCAGCATTAATGATTTCAAAACAATTTTAATTTATTTAGTTCTTATGTTATATAAACTATTTATAGGCTATTTCCTCCTTTCTTTATTTTCATGTGATCACCAGTTTTTGTTAGCTGATTTCATTTTTAAATGAGTCATCATACTTGAAGTTGAATGCTATTTTGTATGTGTAAAATAAATTTGATGGTAATGATTAAGCTATTTTGAAGTTTTCTTTTGTATCCCTGTTTTTTGTTATAGTTTTCAATGTCCTGTTTTGTAATTTACAGAGTTTCGATAAATGACTATTTGCACTGGCTCCATAACATTCAATGCCGTATCTTAGTATTGATTCAAATAATACTTTATACACCATTATTAACGATTCTTTGTTAAGTGAAAATTGAAGATAGTAAATTTTTTACGAACATGTACGTAACCGTCCTAATACACTCGTAATATGGGGTTCCCAGGAAAAGTTGTCTACAGTAACATCTAAATATTTATGCCTATCAACAACGTTTAAAATTTTACAAGAGCATGAGTTTTTATCTAGATTACTGTTAAGACAAATACAGTCATGGTTTTTGATTATAGGGTCTTCTACTAACTCCATATGCATTGATTGTATTAACATAACAACAGTTTTGTTTTTGTTTATTATAAGTCCTTTGTCATGCGTGCATTTTAAAAATTTATCATAATATCTTTGAGTTTTTAATTAGTTAATTATTAGTGTTATTGATCTTTCTTAATTTTTGTAAGTTTTTCTTCTATTTTATATTGTTACACTTTATTTTGTATATTTTTCCTATAGAGATAATTTATTATTGCTAAACTACAAACTCTAAAAAAAACTAGAAAAAACGAAATTGAAGAAGAGATAAAGGTTAGACTGAAGGCTGGGAATGCTTGTTATTTTTCTGTGACAAAACTACTTAGTTCGCGCCTCTTGTCCCGAAACTTAAAAATTAGAATCTATAAAACAATTATCTTGCCTACAGTTCTTTATGGATGCGAAACTTGGCCGCTTACATTAAGGGATGAGCAGCGTCTTAAGATTTTTGAAAATAAAGTATTGCGTAGAATATTCGGATCGAAGAAGGATGAGTTAACCGGAGAGTTCAGACGGTTACACAACGCCGAATTGCGTGAGCTGTATCCGGGTAATATAATTGAGGTAATTTCATCGCGGCGAATCAAATGGGCTTGTAAAGTTGTTGGGCTTAGTAACGAGAGAATTCCTAAAAGGTTAATATTTGCTGTGCCGAATGGTAAGCGTCCGAGGGGTAGACCGAAGCGAAGGTGGGAAGATTGCATTAAAGCCGATCTGAAGGGACTGGGTTTGGACGGCGAACGGTGGAGGGAGGTGTGTAAGAAGCGATTGGTGGTGTCGGCATTGAACCTTCGGGTTCGCTAAGCCTTATTATTATTATTATTATTATTATTATAAACTACAAACTCTATTTTATAAAAATATGTGGTTAATACTAAATTTACTTGAAAATTTAGGTAATGGTTTTGCACGTAAATTTAACATTTTTTTTTAATTTTTCTTTCATTGTATTATCATATTGAGTTACTTTTCTGATGTATGTAGACTTTTGTTTCTGATTGTAACTCACTTAAAGGTTAAGCTCCATCAGAAGTCTACTTAGTGACCAAACCGACGATGCATCCGGTCGTTTATGGTCAACCATAATGAATTGATGTTTTAATTGGTTTATGTTTAAAACTTTGAATATCTTTTAATATTAATTTTTTTAACTGTTGCAATAAATAATTTTAGAGCTGTGAAAGCTGGAGTGAAGGCGCCACTGTTAGTACTGGGTAAATATCCTACCTTCCCACAGTCTCAACTTGTTTCCCTGCTTGGAGTTATGGAAGGACTGTATGTAGTAAGTAATCCATTGGATATCATTAAATTATTTTTTTATTATTAACTATAAATACCGTTACCATTTCATTCCTGTGTGATGTCTCATAACATGGATGTTTTGAAGAACAAGTGATCGAAAATAAATCCCATTCCCCAATAATCATTCAGGAAAGTGCTGACTGTTACTGTCTTAAAGAACGGCTTGTATTATTAAAGAAGAAAAAATAAATAAGCATATTAAAAAATGTATATATTTTTTAAATAGTAACCATGTTACATACATGACAGCTATTTCGTTCAATTTAATTGCAAATTCTGACATTGTTTCTTATGCCTTCAACAGATGGTTCTAAAAAAACAAACAGATAAGTCGTATTCATTCTCCAGTATTCCATCATATGGGCATGTCCTATTAATGATGTTTTGTTTGTATTAAGTTCTCATCTCTGATTACAATATCCATTAAACTACAAGAAATACTATGATTTTCTTTAACAATCATTCCTTTTAATAAAATCGAATTCGCTTCAAATCTCACTTATAAGAACTTGAGATATGTTCTTTTTATGAGAATAAATATAAAGCCACGGTACCACCCTCCCTTCAAAAATGAATTCATAATTATTTTTAATGCAACTGGTAAAAAAATAGCTTTGAAACGGTATAAGTTGATGTAAATATTTTCATAATTCTTTACCTATAGCAATTAATAAAATAAAAGGTTAGAGTAAAAAATAAAATTTTCTTGTGATTTCAGAATCTTCAGTACCGTGAGGATTGCCCTATCAAATATCCTAAAGTGAACAAGCTTGGTGTACTTAGTCCTGCTAGTCCTAGTTCATCAAGGCTTATTTCTGTTGCTACCGCTTTGGAAACGGGAAGGTATCTAATTGGAATATTTTATAAATTCATAGAATTAAAATGTTTTAATTGATCTAAGAAAAAAGTGTTTTTTTTTTTTTAAGGATTGTCGCTAGAGATATTGGTGGACCCGATCCGGAAAGAATGACTCCTCAGCGAGTGGAACAGTATGTCAAAGAAACATTCCCTACCGGAGGAAATGTGAAGGTTGAAGTGGTATCTGATGAAAATACCCTCAAAAAAGAATATCCCCTTTTTTCTGCTGTTAATAGGGCAGCTTCAGGTATAGTGTAAATAAATCATTGTTTGACTTATTCTGATATTTTATTCTGATCTAATATGGATTGTTGTTTTTTCTAGAAATCGAGAGGCATAAGGGAAGAATAGTATACCTTACTTATGAAGGCTCAAATGTAACTGACACTTTGTTAATCGTCGGTAAGGGAGTAACTTATGACACTGGTGGTGCTGACATCAAAGTTGGCGGTGCCATGCTTGGAATGTGTAGGGATAAATGCGGTGCTGCTGCCGCTGCTGGTTTTATGAAGGTATGACATAAAAAATTAAAAAAAACTGTTTTATGTTTTTTATTCTATTATCAATTCAATGAAAACAGTTGTTGCACACATACAGTTAATATTTGAATAAGTTTAATGAATATTAATGTGAAATTATTGCTTTATTGAAATTATTAATAATTGGATACTTGTATGGAAAAAATTATATGAAATCGAGCTGTAATAGAATACAAGTGATAAAGAACATAAATAAGATTGAGATTAGACTTTTTAATTAATAAAAAAGTATCAGAGATGTGGTGAGGACTGTGGGCATGACCTGAGTCCACTGCACTGTGTGACATATACAGCTGTAAAGCACGATACTTTTAAAGTAAATATTGTTATTCAAAAACTATAGGGTGAGAGAAGAAACGGAAAGATATTTCTTTGGCAGAAGTTTTGAAGCTGGCAACACTTATTCTAAGCTAAAAAGTATAAGATATCCCATAAAATGAGCTAGGTGCTAACAAGCCCCTAACGTAGCCAAGTCTCCTCTCTTCTGATGTAACTCCATCCTCATCAATTTGCCTTAACACTAATAATTCTTTGAAAACTATTTAAAAAATTCGAGCCTTTTTTTGTATTTTACTTGTTATATCCTAACACCTTATAGTTTGGATAATTTAGTTTTAATATTTGTTATTACAAAAGTTCTTACACACAAAACACATGGAACATAACCCTTAATTCCAACCCTCATAATTAATCATATAAGAATGTGTTTGTTCCTACTGTTTATGTCAATGTTTACTTTGACTAATTCTTTTATTCCTTGTGACTTGATTTTGCTTTCTGGGGGCCATTTACATTTTTAAAAGTCACGTGCAATGTCAAAAGAATAAATTATGATTCTCTATGTTTTGAGACGTTTGTCGAAAAAAATTTTGCCATAGAATGAGAATCAATTACCCATTGAAATATTGCCACGCTATGTTGTTTGGAGTTATCCATCAACGCTTTGTGGAACTTCGGAGGTGTTTTGCATTTGAGCTTGTTCCTGATGGTGGGCTCAAAACTTTACAGAGTACAGCTAGACATAGTTTATGCAGTTTTGAGTGCAAAGTATTCTGATTTGGTCAACAGGAACTAAGCCATTTTGCAGCATGACAATTCTCTTGCACATCACTTTCCAACTTTGACCAAGAAAAAATAATCGGAACTGCAAGCAGTAAACATTTTGCCTCAACCTGCGTATAGCCCAGATACTGCACCATAAATTGATGGTTTGTGTAGATCAATGGCTCATTTTTTAAAATGTTGGGTTTATTTGATATGTAGGATGACATAAAAATTGGATGTGAAGAGTTCTTTCCTCATAATCTGTGATATGCAGGATGACATAAAAATTGAATGTGAAGAGTTCTTTCCTCATAATCTATGATATGCAGGATGACATAAAAATTGGATGTGAAGAGTTCTTTCCTCATAATCTGTGATATGCAGGATGACATAAAAATTGAATGTGAAGAGTTCTTTCCTCATAATCCTACTAAAAGGAGTGGCACCATTATCAGATACAATTACTGGTAGAAAGATAAGTTAAAGTAGTTGAAAACAATTGACTTTATTTTTTGAAGTATAATATTCAATAATGTTTAAAATATGTAATATGAAATAAAGCTATACTTATGCACAAGGACTTTCGTAATAGCCTAAATACTCAGTTCAAACTTTATGAAAAAAACTTTATTTTTTCTTTTTACTGCCTGTTAAGCGGAGATTAGTTACGCAGATTGTTTTGAAAATTTTAGATCAAGTAATACTTTTATATGTATATATAAAAGTATTACTAATATTGCTAATATATATATATATATATATATATATATATATAGTGGCTAACAGTCAAAATGATACACCTTGATATTAATAGAAATTATTGATTAAATAAATAGTTCAATTTATATTGCATTGAAACCAATAATTTATTAATTTATTGATGTATAATAATATACATCCTAGTAAAGTGATATTTTTTAACTTTCCTACCTATACTAGGTAAGGAAAGTATTGCAATCGGGTCAAATTTCCGATATGCGGTTTTCGACAGATCTATATGTTGCTGATTGCATAAACCGTGAGGAAGCATACGAAGCAATGATAGAAATGAATGTACATACAAAGCTTGTAAGGCTTGTTAGAATGACAATGGAGGGTAATGAGTGTTTCATACAAGTACAAGGTGATTTATCAAAAGGGTTTAGAACATCGATAGGTGTAAGGCAGGGAGACGCTCTGGCATGTCTGGTATTCAACTTTACCCTTGAAAAAGTCATAAGGGATTCTGGTATCCAGACTACAGGAACCCTCCTAAATCGAATGACCCAAATACTTGGATAAGCGGACGATATTGACATAATAGGAAGATCGTTTGCGGCAGTACAAGAAACTTTTACAAGCCTGGAAGAGCTGGCAGCCAAAATCGGTCTTATTATTAACGTTTCCAAAACAAAATATATGTCGACCCTATCCTCACGTCTAACAAGGAAAAACCAAGCATGGCTGAAACAGCGTGGAATCGAGAATGTTGACGAATTCGTATATCTTGAGTCACTGATAAATGCATGAAATAACATTGATTGTGAGATAGACAGGAGGATCGCAGTGGCTAAACATCTTCGCCGTAGAATGTTGTCAAAACATGCTAAAATAAGAATATATAAAACTCTTATTAGACCAGTGCTCACATATGGCTGTGAGAGTTGGACCTTAACTAAAGCAGTTGAGAAATCCCTGCTCAGATTTGAAAGGAGGATTATACGACACATATTTGAAGGGGTCCAGGAAACACCACAAAATTGGAGGAGGAGAACGAATTTAGAAATAAAGACATTATTTAATGACTTGGATGTGAGCCAATGCATCGTACTGGCAAGACTACGCTGGCCAGGGCACTTCGTGCATGTGGAAATGAATGCATCCCCACAGAGAGCTATGAATGAGCCTGTATTTGGAAACAGACGAGTGCGAAGACCATGTTTGCTCTGGCAAGACTGTGTGGCTGCTGATGCATGTAGACTACTTGGTATCAGAAATTGGAAGGCTGCAGCAACTAACTAGGAGAACTGAAGATCCATGCTGAAGGAGGAGGGTAAGTCTCGAATGATTGGGATGTAGCTCCATTTAATATGAAATTTCTAGCAAAGAAGACTTAAAAAAATATCTCCTCGAAGAAAGAAACAGGCGAAGTCCGGAATCACCAAAAAATTGGTAGACTCCATTGCAAATAGACTAATATGAGTAGTAGAAAATAATGGCTTGCCTACAAGGTATTAAACTAAATTAATAAGAAGTGAAATGTATCATTTTGACTTATATTTATTTTATATTTTTTTGAGGTGATCAGTTTTTTTTTTATTATTTTTTTTAAATAATCACAGTTAAATATTTTAATTTTATTGATCCTGTACATATTTAAAATGCAATTATAAATAAATCTGTTGAAGAGTTTCTGGTTTTATTTATTTACTGTAACCATTGAAGTATTTTTTCGATTTTTCTACGAATACACACTGTAAGTGTGTATACCATTGAACCTTCATTTTTAATAAACTTGCTTACATTTCCTTTATCATTTTGAAACATTTATTGGATAATTTTATCATTAATTTATTTTTGTTATTAATAGTAGTAAAATTACTGTGACAAACATTTATTTTTATGAATTTCTATTTTATAGGTAGTGAGCATACTGAAACCTGAGAACTTGAAGGTTGTTGCTGGTCTTAGCTTAGTCAGAAATAGTTGTGGAGAAAACTCGTACGTTGCAGACGAAATCATTACTTCACGAGCTGGAAAGAGGATACGTATCGTCAACACAGATGCAGAAGGAAGAATGGCCATGGCTGATGTTCTTTGTTATGTAAATAATTCTTTAATTTTTGGACATTGAAATTAATATATACATAAAATTAATATCTAGTAATTTTATATATATTTTTTTTTTCAGATGAAGGATATTGCCAAAAAAGCTGTCAACCCACATCTGTTTACTATTGCTACTCTTACCGGGCATGCTTTCCGAACAGTTGGAAATGGTTATACTGTAAGTTGTTATAAGGCAGTGAAAATTGAATTTAGTTTACCTGTTCATTAGATATAATTTTCTCAGGGCCTAAGTGATTACTATTTAGATTATTATCATTACTGTTTACTTTGAAACCTACTACTTCCTATTATATTACAAAAACATTGATTTGTGTTATATATGTTTATCAATTAATTGAAATTTTATCAGTTTGTGTTATGTTAATTTCTAACTTTAGAATTTTCTGACTTGGCTGTGGTACAAGATAACTAATCAGCTTCTTTTTTTTTCAACAGCCTAGATCATTAGAGAACTCCATAGAATAAAAAAATTGACTTTTGAACCTCTTAAGCGGACCCTACTTGGTCAGGCAGAAATGAAAGTCTTAAGAATGGCTTACAGTGAGAGCTACCTTTCTTGCTAAGAGGAACGATGATACTGAACTCCCAATCTCTTGGAATGATCTTTGTTTCCCATATATTTTGGAAGAGTTGCTGGAGAAATTGAATAGCTCTTGACCTCCAAATTTCAATAATTCTGGAGCTATACCGTCTCTTCCTGCTGCTTTACCTATTTAAAACCCTAGGGCCATCAACGCCTGTAACCTATTTTAATTTTTTCGATGGCATACCCTACCTCATCTTTCTCAATGGCATCGGAATTCTCTAGACTATAATTTTCTGCAGCATGTTCTCCTGGGTCATTAGGCCCTTTTGAGAAGTGTCCTCGATTAAACTCCTTCCACTGCTTAAGAGATTTTACCTTTTCTGTTATCATCTTGCCATATGAGTCTTTAATATTTCTCACCGACTTAATTCTTTTCCCTCTCAATGTCTTTTCGTTGCATCAGAATTTTTTAATACTCTCGGTGGTCTTTATTGAGGCTTTTTCCAAATTTCTCCCATGCAGCTCTTTTTGCTTGACGGATCACTCCTTTGCATCGATTTTTGATCAAATGGTATTGGTTCTGTCTTGAAAGTCTTTGCATGTCTTCTTCTGAAATTGGATGATGTGGCACAATTCTTCATTCCACCATTGGGTGCGCTTCTGTTTGCTTGATATTTTACGCATACCACAAACTTCTCTTGCCAATTCTCGAAAATGCACCATTTATGTTCCATATCATCCTCCAGACACAATGCCCTTAATTTACTTTCCAGTTTTTTAATGTAGGAGGTTCACTTTACGGGATCGTCTAGAGCTCGTATATTTTATGTTCGGTAGTTCTTTTCTTTAACGGGTCATCTCTGCAGAAGTATTGGCTATTAGTAACAGATGATTTCTGCAGCTCTTATCACTTCAATGTCGGCAACATACTGTCTTATGCAACGATCATATACAAAATAGTCGATAATACTGTTTCTCATCCTGTTCTTGTATTAAAGTCTCCACTGCCATAAAACGTTCACATTGAATTATTCACATTATTTTTATATTGAAAGTTATTAAATTTGAAACATTTATTTGATGATTTGATTAATTTTATTTTATTAAATGACTCTTAACTATGATTGCACATATGATATAGATTGCATTGGATAACGGTCCAGCCAGGCAAAAATCATTTGCTCAACTGCTACAAAAGACTGGAGAAATCGTTGGAGATATGTTTGAAGTTAGTACTATCAGAAGAGAAGATTATGAAGCTTACAAAGGTATTATTTAATATCACTTCCTTTTTAACAAAATAGAAATTTAAGTTCTAATTATGGATTAAAAAATTAGTTTCTTACGGTTACTTCAAGGCCCTCCAGCTTTTTAAATAAAAATTTGTATTAATTTGAGGATTTCTAAGTTAGTAGTTAACGAAGGAAAGGTGATGATGTTTTTTAAAAAAGTGGTAATTTTATAAATTGTTATAGGAAAAACTGAAGGTGAAGATGTCGTACAGGCTGAGAGCTTACCATCAGCCCAGTGTAAGCGAGGTCATCAGGGACCAGCAGCCTTCCTCATCCTGGCCTCTGGTCTTGAAAAGGTGTGTTATGATATTATTTTTGTTTAGTTTTAGGGTTTTGGTTTATTATTATTATCGTGTTTTATTTTTGTTTGAATAACAACATTTAAAACCTAATTTTTGGCTTCATGCTGATCGTTATGTTCGTCATACCACATAGTAACATCAGACCATGGGTAGGACATCCTCATTTTGAATAATTTTAATATATCAATAAATAATTAAGTTAAATAAATACTAGGGGGTACCCTCTGTCCGCCTGATATTGGACCAACTTCCATTTTTAAATGATGCAGTTGTTCATTTAATTATACTACTCGTTGTTCAAATTGTATACCTGTAATTTAAATATATTCTGTAGTTCAGATCATATTATTTTTTTAACAACATAAAATAAACTGTACAAAACCATACTTATACTTAAGACATATTTTTAATTTCTTTAAAAATCTATATGATACATTGATATTATATCGATTTTTATTTCCAATTTGTAACAATAATAAGGGAGAAATAATTCTGGGAATAAGAAGAGTCTTTGTTATGTTCCGTTGTGTATTTATATGTAAAATAATATCTGACACGGTCACTAAAAACTTTATTATACAATAGAGAGTTTAATGTACATACTTATGGTTATGTAATTAAGAAATTTTTTTTTTAATTTTATGCTATTAAAATCAAAATTTAGTCCTTAAAGTACAAAATATGCAACAAATATAAAAAAAACAAAAAAAAAAAAACGTGTAATTTAGTCCAAAAAAACCAAAACATGCACTTTTTTGTGGAAAATGAATTAGAATGAGCCATTAGATCTTTGGTGTGTAACGCTTGGGTAAAGTCGGCTGGAGTCAACTAATTGAAGTGTTTTGGCATATTGATTAAAATATCTCAAAAACATCAGACCTGCATAGTATAAGCGAAGGCATTTTTCAACATTTCATCCTCTCTGTAATGAGCTATTATTCAAAATTGCATCTTAACGTGTCGCCGTGTTAGGGAAGCGAAAAAGAAAAAAATATTGTCTAAAATCAAATGATAACGAGTTTTATTGAAGATATGGATTAAAATATCTCAGAAACTAAAAATCGGACTTGCATACTGTAAGTGAGTGAATTGTTCAGCATTTCATCCTCTTTATAATGAGCTATTATTTATAATTTATATTTCATATTATTAAGCTTGCTTTGTTGATGTCTTCACTTCTACATGTGGTCTAAATCACACACCTTAGTTAAGTTTTTTAATTTATTAGATGTATCAAAAACTTTTCTTCTAAATTATCCAAAGTGCCCAAAGGATCATAGAGCTGTTCTCCTCCATTTATCTTTTCAATAGATTTCTAGTTCATCAAAGACTACCATAAATAGCAATATCTTAATTTTTGAAACCAAAACTTGTGATAAATATTGCAACAATAACTCCTAAAAGGCTTTTGGTAAGAATTACCATAAATCTTGAAAACAGTACATTTTTGAGCTTTTAAATGCATGACAACGGGTTTTGATGTTCGCTTCGGAATCTTTTAAACACAATCCATCCCATCTTGATCCATTGACTTATAAAACCATCTAGTTTTGAAACATCTTAATTTTTTTTATATCTTTAATTTATAAGTTGTAGTAAGTTTTTATGTTTTGAAATAAGAATTCACCACTTCTATATGAAATTAAAATTTATCTGAAGCGTCATTCATCAAAATCTATCACTCCTGAAAAGGTATCTTCACTAACTTATTATATATAGGGTTATATTTATATAAACACCTAGTTATGTCAGTAACAGTTTTAGATTAAAAAAATATTTTGCTGCAAAAAATCTTCATTTTATTTTGGATTGTGTGTATTTCATCTAACCCTTATTATAAATCAGTGATGTTTTATAAGTAAAATAAATTACAAATTTCTGTTAACAGCATGGACTGGATTCAACTGATGGCAAGCTGTATTACACTCATTTGGATATTGCTGCATCTGCTGGAGCATTTCCTGAGCAAGCGTCCGGCTGTCCAGTCCTGGGGCTTGCTGCCAATTATCTAAGCGTCCATTCTTAAATCGTTGCTCCGAGTTTGTCATTTTAAGATTTCTTTATTTTTAATAAACAATTCATGTTACTGTATTATCCACCTATCAAATGGTTTATTTTATTCAACTTAATCTTAATTTGATAATAAAATATAATTGATACAAAATACTAATCATTATTGCTGTTTTTATAATTCTTTATATTTTTCCCTTTTCTTTATTTTGCTAAAATATACTTTTAAATAATGGAAACCATAATTTTTTGGAGAATTTCATGGTTGCTTTTTGATATTTAGACACATTTATTGAAATATAAATAGATTTTAAAAAATAATAAATAAAATTAATTATCCCTGAAGTTAACCAAGTTTTGAAAACGTGCTCATAATGTAATAACATACTGTTTTTGTAATGCTTTTCATAATGATATGATATACCTATACATAAATTTCTACAAAAAGCCTCTCTAATTTTGGCGATATTATGTTAGACAAAAAGCACCAGATTGCTATTTATAAGACCATCTTATTTAATGCAACTTTTTTACTTATTAATGTATTAAAAAATCAGTTTATCTACCATCCATTTCTTCATTGACCACCATCAATTTATCCAATTACGCATAAAGAAAAAATTTGTAGCACTTCAACCAATTGAGTTTTGGGTTCAGTACTTTGTAAGGAGGTACTACTGCTTCAGGACCAACAGTTGTGCAAGGAGGAACTGTTAACTGTTTAAGAGTCTGGTTGTCCCTCTGAGGATCTCCTGATCCAGAAGTCAATCCACGGCTGATGTAATGGAATGAAGCATTATCTGCCATAGCTGCACTCAAACCCAGGCCTTACTCACTGAGCTATCCCTATTCCTGGAGATCATTTGTTATAATGGACTTAAATACTTGATATACTGATTTTTCTTCTGTTGGCATTACAGACCATGTAGATCTTTTGCCACCTTAACAAGACTGTTCAATCTCTGCCTGTCTTGGGCTACTTCTTTCCATTTATCTGCGTACAGCTCTGTTACATCTTTGATGATTCTATCTATCCATCTGCTTTTTGGTCTTCCACGTGGTCTTTTGCCTTCTATTGAGGCATTCATTGTTACGTAGAGGCTACCAGATGGATTGCTACGAGCTACATGCCCTGCCTATCTTAATCTCCCTCTGTGCCTTCATGTTATGGAATATTGAATGACCAGTTTCTGTAAGGAGTTCTTTATTGGTCTTTCTTTTCCATCTGTTAGTACTCTGATTCCAGATCGCACCAGTTATCGCCCAGAAGATTTTTCTCTCAAATCTTTCAACACTTTTTTCTTGAGTGCTGGTTACTGTCCAGGTCTCACAGTCATATGTTAGAACTGGCTTTATCATAGAATTGTACACCCTTAGTTTGAGATTTTTCGGAATTTCAATGTCTTTTTGGCCAGATGTAGTTTTCATTTTTTCATCATAATTGTTATTCTTAAGGAACCTTGTCACAGCATAAAGTTTATTTTCTAATTCTATTTTTATTGCTATACATATACATGATGTTCTAATGAATCGAACAAACCTATTCCAAAAAAAGCAAAATTTATTTGGAAGCTATAAATAACAAAACATAGTTGGGTTCATATTTTTTTACAATAAATAATACATTAATTAAGCATATTCCTTTCGGCACTGAATTAAACTATTAATGAAAAGTGAAAATACTGTTTCAGCTCATAAAACAAGAAAATATTTTTGTATATTATCAACTTAAGTGAGCTGACAATTTTATTTGAATACAACTAATCAATTTTACATATATTCTTTCATGCCAGTGTAAATTGACTTAATAAATAAAATTCATTTAATTTTAAAGTTTAATGAAATTGATTCTAATAAATAATGTTTACGGAAAGATATAAAACTAGCAACTGTCATACATTAATTGCACAAGAGGACAGTGTTCCAGGGACCACAAACCAGCTGTCGAACTGATGCTTCAGGAGTTACAGGAAGTTTGGTCATAGTTGAACATCTCTGAACACCTTTTAATCCTAATTGGCCCCATTTATTCCAACCACAGCCTAATATATCACCATCTCCTAGAAATTAAAAGAGATCATAATAAAGTTTTTTAAATTAAAATTTACTTTAGCAACAGTATGTTGAAGGAAAACTACCTATATCAAAAATGAATCTCGGGAAATAATAGTCAGAAGGTATAAGTATGATATATATTGTTGGAAAGCAGAGAATTTTAGAAAAAACAATATGTAATACAGAATGTCATAGAAGGTAATGGAGAGCGACGAACAATTATAATAGTCCGTGGGTGGTACAGACCCCTTTTTATCGAATTATTAACATCCGCCTGAAACTTCGTAAATAGTTTCATCTCATTGTAACTTACAACTATTTTATTTACGAAAATTCTTGGAATTGGGGCGCTTTCAATCTGGAGGGGGACACACTTTGTCTATTTTATTAGGTACTAAAAACTCGTAAATACACATTTGCTTTCTACTTGGATCGTAAGATAATTTGATCACAAAGTCGAGAAAAAAAAAGGTAGCCTTCAAAAATATTTGGTGTGACCTACACCCCCAAATTTCCAAAATAATGAGGTTATATAGAACAAACAACCCAATATTTTTGTAGGACGTATTTTTTATCGATTTTGTGATCAATTTATCTTACGATCCAAGTGGGAAGCAAATGGGTATTTATGAGTTTTTAGTACCTAATTAAATAGACAAAGTTTGCCCACCTCCAGATTGAAAATGCTGCAATTCCAAGAGTTTTCATAAATAAAATAGTTGTAGGTTACGATGAGATGAAACTATTTACAAAGTTTCAGGCGAATGTTAATAATTCGATAAAAAGGGGTCTGTACCACGGACTATAAATAATAATTTGGGAAAACTAATATTATTTAATGGAAATCACATGTTTCCAGGGAAATTAAATGAAACTTATACAATTTTTTTTTAAGTTTGAAAAAGTATTTAAATTTAACTTAATCAAGGCAATGAAATTAATTTGATGAATTTTCTCTTTGTGAAATCCCAACATTAATCCACTTACAATTAGTTTGACAACTTTTGACCTATCTATGGCAGTCAATGAAAATCTCGTAATTTCATTTGAGTAAACTTTACAATGGAAAATAACAGTTTAACAACAAGCAGATTACAATCCATAATCCATAATAACTTACAATAGCTCATAATAGCTTGCAATCCATAATCATTTATAAGTTGATGTAATCAATAGGGCTTTTGTTATTTTAATGGTCTTAATGATTTGTTAGCTGTGAGCTTTAATTTAAGCTGTAGCTCCGTTAAAAGTGTACTTCAAAAATTTTATAATAGCCCAACATTGCCAGAAAATAATTTCTATTCAAAGCAGAGCAGTAAGTGAAAGTTGTGTGTTGTGTGCACCAACCAGAAAAAGAAATATAACAGAAAGGCGTCAGAGAAAAGTATATAGGGTAGAGGAGTAGAATGCTAATGGGACATTTCCACTGAATCATTCATTAGTAATAATACTGATGATAAGCTAGCAGCTAATCTTCTTTCTGAAGTAAATTTACCTCTCATTTAAATAAACTTATTTAGTTTGAATTCCATGTTCGGGAAAATAATCAATCAGGTGTTTAAAACAAGAAAAGGAATTTCCTTCGACTACAGATAAAACTCCAAAGATTCTTATTAAGAACCTCTAACATGTTAATTTTACTCACTAATAAAACCGAGTATTGAAAACTGAACTACAAAGCCACAATTTTAACTGTTTTAAAAATAAAAAAAATATTGCCTGTATTTATTTGTAACAAGCAAGGTAAATAATAAAACAAAAATCTCAAAGGTCTCATTTATCAATATATTAGGGTAAGCTCAGACAGTTATGACATAAGCTAATAAAGTTCTAACCTTTAATATAAAAAATAAATTATCTTTTGTTATTTCCTTATATAAAATATGGAATAAAGCACAATATAAATATATACAATTCTTATATTAAATATCATACTTAGTTTGATAATTGTGTGACTTGCACCACAGGAGACTTGTTCAACCAACATATTCTCAGGCAAATCTACAGGTCTTGGGGTAGCCAACACAGAAACACCGTTTTCTTTCTCAACTAAAACGAACAACCAGAATTTAATATCACACAGATTCATAATTTATTTGATCATCCAATCGAATAAATAACCAATCATTTAATAATTATAATACATAATATAAAGACATAAAATAAAATAAGACTTCTCATTTGTGTTATTTCATCTGACCACACCGCATTCCGTCCCCCCTCCAACCAACTTCCTCTATTATAAGTATAATATATCCCCACATATATTATTACAGTCAGGCTTGAAAATAAAATAATAATAATATTAATATTTATTATTGTTATCTTATAAGCCATATCTTCATTAATTCTTCATCAAATCCAAAGATTGAGCCACCCATTTTGTAGGTTTCCTTCTCCTCCAGGCAGTAAAAGTAGTCCCATCACCCCGAAAATTCAGGAAAAAAGACACTTTTTCCTTGGTTATACCCATGATTATTTTAAAGATTATTAAATTTTCAACAAAAGGAGAAAAAAAAAATCATCAAAATCAATTAAGAAATTTTTCCATTTTAACATTTTTTTTGTTCTTATTTTTGGTTATATTCTTTAGGAGAGCTCTATGATAGACCATTCCATTTAAAAATAACTTTATATTTGGCATATAGCTACAGTATGACTACAATGTTGAAACTATTTATACTGACCAAAAGAGGAAGATAGGTTCATTCAAATATTTTTTAAGGGAAAACAAGAGTTGAAATTTGAATTTCTCACCTCAATAAAGCATCAAATACGAATTTTCGTAGAAATAAAAAAAAAAATGTTTGTATAAAAAGCGGAGCCAACGCTTCCCCCACAGATTTTCTCTCGAAAATCACAGAATGTGGGATAACATCAAAACGATTCCACTTATTTACACAAACAAGACCCCTAAAATATAATTTAACTAGAAATATAAAATAAAAAACTTTGAGGAGTTTTTCCTTAGTTTAATCAGACAATTATTAGCAAACATGTAGGTTCAAAACATTAATGAAATTTTAAATTAACTTTTGTTTCCTATGTTGATTATAATTAGCGAGCAAATAACAATTGATTTCTCTATCTTATGATACAGTGTATTATTTTATTTTCTTATTAATATGTCATTCGATCACTGAAAAATATACTGTGCAAATTATTTCCATGGGCTAACTAATTAATAGTAATTCTATTAAATACTTTTTATAAATTTAACTAAACCTCCAGACTTTAAAAAAATCATCTTTATTAATTTTTCTAAACTCCAGGTAACATTTTTTCCTTATTTATTTTTATATAAAAACATAGAAAAATGAATAAATAATGGTGTTTCTTTTTTTTTTTTAAGCCTAGAGGTTTAGTGGAAAGCATTCAATAAGATATATCAAGAATTTTCGATGTGTTTAGAATAGTTTATTAACCCATTAAGTAAATTAACATATATTCTCCTCAGTTTATAGAAATATATTCAAATTTGTCGTAGATTTTCTCTAAACTTTTCGCCATTACTTAATAGTAATGGTGATTTAACTAATATTGTTATTTATCAGATTAATCAAAAAGGAAAATCCAGGAACATAAAATATAAAAAGCAAATTATTACTATCTATTGTTGGGAATCCTAGCTGGCCTTGCTTGTTCCATCCCCAGGTATACAGGTCACCTTCCTCTGTTACGACAGCTGTATGCCATCCACCCGCAGATATTACAACCACTCGTAGACCAGAGAGCGCCTCCACCTCACACAGTGTTTCACTGCTCTCAAGATCACCAGTACCAAGCTGCCCACGGCTGTACCATATATAATCGACCATTACTTTAACTAATAGGCTTATCTTTTAAATGAAGTAAACAAGTGAAATGAAAATATAGCTAAATAAAATTAACATTTACTTTTATTTCATATTTCTCAGCTTAAGTAGTTCTAAACTTACTATGACCTCAAGTGTTAAAAACAAAAACTTGTTTAAAAAACATTATTTATGAAGCATTTAATCTGTCTGTGACTAAATTTACTATCTGCAAAGTGTTTTTTTCCATAAGCAAATCTGTATGCCTCCGGGTAGGGGTTAAGTTAAGAGGTCTCTTGGAGACTACCTCAAAAGTCTTTGGAGTGGGATGTACAAGTTCATGTTGTAAGTCAGTCTCAGGTGTTGGTTTGTGTAGTATTGTGTTGCAGTACCTGAAACTGTATGGATGTCCAAGTCCTTGTGTAATAAGTCATTTGTCACATAGAAAGGTGCATCTGCAATTTTTCACAAAACTTTTGATTGAAAAGTTTGAATTATGTGAATATTAGTCTTTTTCACTTGTGCCCATAGCTCTATACCATAAGTCTATAAAGGTTTTATAATTAATTTGTGGATTATAATTTGGTTAGTTAATTTGGAGCATCTGTCAAATAGCCTCGATAATAGTTCTAATCGTTTTTTCAGTCTAATATGAGTTTTCCATGTCAGTTTCTTATAAAGTTCCAAATAACACACTTCTTCTTAAGTAGAGATATGAACATTATTGAAGAAAACCTGTGGGCATGTACCATGATTTAGTGTAAAAACAATAAATACGCTTTTTGCCGCGTTCATTTTAGCTACCTGCCTGGTAGCCATTAATGATATCATCAAGATGATCCTGTATGAAAAGAGATGCGATAATTCGGTTTTGATGAGTCGTAAACAGTGTAATATTGTCAGCAAATGTTGCCAGTAAAGTATTGTCATGTTCGGGTAAGTCTGGAGTGAAAATGTTGAAAAGTAATGGTCACAGTACGCTGCCTTAGGATACTCCTGCCCTAACACATTTTGTGGTGGATAATTCGTTGCCTACTTTTACTGTAAAGTAATATTGGTACTTGGCTGTTAGCTGGACAGGACCAACTGCTACCTGCCAATGTTTATAACCTGAACACTGATAAGGCTTCTTATAATACCTATCTTCGTATTCATATTTATTGTATTATATTCATACTATTGAAATTGTAAACAAAAACAAAAAGAAATATAATAATAAAAAAATACTTTTATTTTACAACATATATATTAAATAGACGAAAACAAATGTAATAATAACAAAACAGTTTGGTTTGTAATTGAAATAGACAAAAAGAAATTTGATCTACTTCAACGACTTTGCCAGGCCCTTCATGTTTTTTACTTGACCTGTATAACATGTCATGGGCACAAACCTCACTTGAACATTTGTTCCACGTTACCATAGTTTCCTTGGATAGTTTCAGCTGCTCTTTGCTCCACTTTATCGTTGTTAAATTATGGGACCATCCATAAATAAATTTTAAAGCCGTTAAAAACGAAATCCTCGACTCCTCTAACCACATTCCTTTCCTACAGAAACTTTTTTGTTACAAGTGGTACAAAAGCATCTCCATTTTGCCTTCCGGTCTATCTTTATTTGATGACCTTCTTCACACAGTTTCACGTTTGGAATTATCCCAGCGTTTTGAAAATATTCAACAGCCTCTTCTTCTGAAGACGATAATTCCCAGAATGTAATAACATCCATCATTTAATGAAAATAACAGAAATGGAACAAAAATATACAATTGAATAACTCAAGGCTTTCATGAGATAAGATGGGAGGTTATTTGATGTAACATTATATAATAAATGAGGTTTCGTCCAGGCCTCCAAACCGACAAGCACCATAATATTAAATAGTAAGTCGAAGGAAGTAAAATTTTGAAACTAATTCCTGTATGATCTATCTTATTTTTAAATTTAACAAAGCTTTTTTGAAATTTTGTAACATCAAAAAAACTTAAATTTAAAATTTTGAAATATTTATTATTATTACTAGCATATAATTATATATATATATGCGTGTGTGTGTGTGTTGTAAAATAAAATTGTTCTGTTATTATTACATTTGTTTTTGTGTTTTTGAATTTCATATGAAGATAGGGATTATCAGTGCCTTATCAGAATTATCAGTGTTCAGGTTATAAACATTGGCAGGTAGCAGTCGAAGCCGACAGGACTGTTCACAAGTACCGATTTTTAAAACAAAAGTACATAACATTTTACCTGCCTCCTCCCCAAGTTAAAACAGAACCATCTTCAGTAAGCAAAACACCATGTTCTTTCCCACATGCCACATCTTTAATTTTACCAGAATAGTTGAGAATATTTGGAATACAGTAAGCAACACCTTATAGAAAGACTTTTATAAGTAGTTTATACTTTTATAATAAATCATATATATTCAACAGATTCACTACCTGTATCAGAAAGGGCAACATTTAAAGTACCTCCATTACATACTTTCACTATTTTCCCTTGATCCTTATCAAGTACTTCTGCATAGAATAAATTAGATATATTCTTCCATATTCCACTATCAATATTATATTGCCAAACTTGGCCACTGCTAGTCACAATAGTACTGACTAATTTACCACAAGATGTCTGAAATATGTATTTAAAAAATATAAATAAAAATAAGAAAACGTGTTCTAATAAAACTCTGTAATGGTAATTAAAATTATCTTAATGTCATATTTATAATTCAGAAAAGAGCTTTTGCAGGCAATTGACATAAAAGAGAACAATGAAGGATTATCAATGGGGTTGATTAAAGCTGCTGATAATGACATTAAATGAAAGCTAAACCAATTAGCAAGCCCAGTATTGCATTTAAAGTATTGGAAATAAAAATAAAAAATTATCTCACTTCTTATTTAATGAAGTAATCGAAATAATTGACTACGAGTATAATTTTCACAAATATCAAGTTACAAGTAATAACTCTTGAGGATACCAACCTATTGTATGGATTACCAAGTATTAAAAAGCCTTATAATAACATAACTGAATTAGAACTATAGTAAAAGAAATACAAACTAAATGAAAAGCAATACACAACGAACTTTACATGTTCTTTATTTCCTTCTCGAATATTATACGTTTATTTTTGCAAGGAGATGCTTGGAGCAATCCGAATATAATTTCTAGGTAATCCAAATATAATTACGACAAACAGCTAAAGCCACCACTGAATGACTACTCAAAAGTAAAATATACCACATTATTTATTAGGTTTAAAAACATGATCCATAACCAAGCCATTTAATTTATAAATTCATTACTTAGCAGTGCAATGATACCATATTTCATGTATCTAACAGTGCCTTTTCTTTATTATAATCTTAGATCTAGACAATCTTGTAATCTAATTTATTTCCAATAACAGACAACTATCATTAAATTGCACATTGTAGTTATTCTAAGGGAACTCAGTCCCAAAAGAAAATTTATTTTTCTTCTTATTATTATTTATGGGTCTCAATTTGAATCGGTGTAACTCTAAACCTCACTTTCTAGTGGGGCAAAGCCATTAAAAATAAATAAATTTTGAATAGATTGAGATTTTTTATTTTGTAAGGGATGGGAAGTAAGCATAGCAAAGATAGCAATTAAAATGTTTTCTAGTCATATGGTTACATGTTGAGGTCTATCAATATTTATCATAATATAGTACCAACCTGAATCACAGACTCCTTAAATGGTATGTCCAGAGACTCACTCTTTCCAGGTTCTCCATTAACAAAGCCAGACAGTATCAATTTTTTATCTGAAAATTTGCATGCATACAAATAACGACATACAATAAGTAATCTAATGTATACCACTACAAAATATCACTTTACTGCTCCAAATTAAAATATTGCTCCATGAGACCGAAACTAGTGATGGTTCATAATCAACTTTACAACTAAAAAAATTTCCAATAACATCGTTTTCAGAAATATATTTTTCGTTGTTGGACAGAGATAAAAATTGTTTAAATCCATTAAAACCACAAAATAATATCATTCTTATACTTGTTTACCACATCAAACAAACTTTCACTCATTTCAAAAGCAAATTAAAGTGGAATCAATTTCCATTGTGATAAAATATAATCACTATCATACGCCTCAAGATAAATTCAAAATTCAAAACTCATAAAATAACAGATCGCTAGCGATTCTTTCAACAGTTAGAGGACAAAACAAGGAGGTGAAAATTGGACTAATAAAATGGTTGTTATTAAAAATTGTTGAAATCCGTTATATTGAGACCGTATTTATTGCTGACAATAGATTTTTAAATTAATGAAATCAATTCTATGTCTCTTACTAACTACAATTCGGTGGAATTGTAGCTTCTTTCCATTCAAGCTCATTTCGCTGTTGTCTGGGGGTTTCGATAACTTTGAAGGCCGTTCAACATTATATTCTCACTTACCATACTCTTCTTTGCTTCGGCTAGTTCAATGATAAGCAGTTCCGGCCTCAGGGCAGATGAAACCGGGCATTTCCGATGAATCGGGCAGCGAAAATTCGGAAAATTTGTAGAGCTGTTGTTTCTATTGGCCTATCTCTATACAGTTCGGAAATGGTTGGAATAATAAAAATCCTAGCAACTATTGACAAGATAAAAGAGGAAAAGCTAATGAAAATTTGAAAAAATTTCCATACTATTTCCTTATTTCCCCCTACCTCTACATTGCTAAAAAATTGTTGGTCTGAAAAACCGATCCTTCATTCCTAAGGAAAAAGAGGAAAAGCGAATGAAAACTCGGTAATAAGTATCCATTCACGAGATATATATAAATATATATATATATATATATATATATATATATATATATATATATATATATATATATATATATACATATATACATATATATATACATACATACATATATTGTAGCTAAAATCGTACAAGACGCACAGTTCGAGTGGGCCTGTGGATTTTTCTCGCTTCTTTGGGGAGGGCTTAAAACTCTACCTCACTAGTTTTTAGTTCTAAGCTTTAGTGATTGATGCAGTTGATTTCGAATGTCATTCATTGTTATTGGCGCCAAAGTTAATGCACAAAACTAGTGTAATTTATTTACTACCTTATCTTAGTCATGTGTTCGTCATACAATAATAAATCGACTAAGAACCGAAAGGGCTCTAAAAGAAAATGTAACGCAAGTAACATTTATAGTGCTAATGTTAAAGATATGATAAATTGATTGAGAAAATGATAATATATGACATTTGCTATGTTTTCATTTTAAATCATTGTAATTTAATTTAACCAAAATATTTGATGTGTTTTTTTCAAGTTTATTTATAATAACCCTTTTAATAGGTTTGGATTCATCTAAATCTTGTGATTTGGTTTCTTCAGATGAGCCAGGTAAATATTTTTGTTGTGTATTTAGATAGTTAAAATTTGTAAAATGTATTTTCTTGTGAATTAAATTATCATGCCTTATTGTTCCCTAAATCTTTTAATGTTTCAGAATCTTCTCAGTTATGGTCAACATACCGTGATATATATGATATTATTGCTGCTAATCCAAGTGAAGGTATTTATAAAAGAGGAATTTTACAATATACCAGTCATACACATTATGGTAACTGATACTTGACTTATATATATTTCAGTACAGACAACTGCTGAATGTGTTGCCAATTCTAGAGTAATTGATGTTGCCACGACTAAGCTTATTGATGATGTGCAAAAATTGGATTTGAGTTCCATTGATCTGTGGGCTGATATTGCAGAACGTTTGGTAAGACTTAATCTTTGAAAACTGTGGATACTTCATTATTTATTTCTAAAAATGAAATTTTATGGCTATTTTTCTAGGTTATTGGTTGGAACACATTTTTCCACGGGCCTGATAATGTTGATGATTGGAGTTTAGGTGATTTAGTTCCATTGAATCGTTACAAGTCTAACTTTTTCAATTCAAGATCATTACTTTTAAAAAGGCATAATCCTGAACACAAGGTTGTCCAAAATCAGAAAAAACCAAGAATTACTAGGAAGGATGACAATTCACAATCCAAAGCAACTAAACCTCTTCAAGTAAATTTGTTAACTCTATTAATTTGACGTTTGTTAGTATTCTAGCTTTCATAATTTTTTTTTTCTAGGGTTTTGCGGAAGACAAACCACCTCTTTTGATTGAACACATGGAAAGAATAAAGTCAGTTTTGAGTAAACTTTGTTCTAAAAAAGATACATCTATTCCATATATGAAGCTTGTTCTACACCCTACATCTTTTCCTTGCAGTGTTTACAATATTTTTGCCGTAGCCTTTCTTGTTAGAGAAGGAATGGTTGCTTTAACGATAGGTATGTAGTTAATATAGAATATTTAATGTTATTTTTTTGTTCTAAGCAGCATTTTAAAGTTTTCATGCCCATGGTTTTGAATGAAGTATATTGTGATTTCTTTTTACAGCCCTAATTTTATTTTTTTAATTTTTTATTTTTTTACTGTCTAGATAACAAGATAACAATTATTGGTGGGGTTTTAATTCAATGTTACAGTTTTATTTCTAAATATTCAAGATCAGATTATAATGGTTTTGTGCTGTTTTCTCATTTGTATCTATAAGTAATCTTCCACCTAATTAATGCCATAGCGATTAATAATGTTGGAACATCACTCTGCTGTCTAACTTCCCCTCTCTTATTACTGCTGAAAATTGTCCGCACCAAATTATTCTCCATCTAAAATAATCATTGAGGACTAAGGATGCCATATGAGTGAAATTAGGGCTCAAATGAACAAGATATAAAAAATGTGGAAGTTACATGATATTTAGATGAAAATTATAATCAGTGTGAATAAACTTATAAAAATTCTAAAAAGTTTGAATAGGAATATGAAGAACATTAATCTCTATAAACAAAGCATAACTAAGTAACCAAATCCTAAACTGAAGTAAATAAATGGTAACAATTATTGTAGATAGGAAAAATTGAATGTAATAATTGCAATAATATAATATCATATCCATATAATATAATATCCATACAATAATAATTATCCATGTAATAATTAACTATCCTTCTTATTACATTCCATTTTCTCTATCTACAGTAATTGTTACCATTTATTTACTTCAGTTTAAGACCTGGTTACTTAATTATACTATTAGAGCTGATATCCAGCATATTATAAAAATTATTTCAGGAAATACTTTTTTAACTTTCTAACAGTTAGCTCAGTGAGGAAGGCACTGCTCCTATGCTCCGGGTCAGGGTTTTAAGTCCTGTTGTGGAATATAATTATTCATTCTGTTTCATCTGTTATAGATCTACCCTGGAGCTGGGAGCACTTAAATAATTGTTATTATTTAATTATTATTATAATTGGGAGACCTTAAATAATTATTTAAGGGGGAAGATTTGGTGGTTATATGTGATCTCGGTCAATTAACCTACTTGCACTATCGTTGACCAAGAAACAGTAACTCCTCTTAAGTATTGAACTCCAGACCCTACATGGCGTTGTATAGTTGTACAGATTTTGTTTTTTATTTATTTATGCAATGCTATTTTAAAAACTTAAGTTAGCTATCTTTCAATTTGATAGTTTGTAAAGCTATAACTTTTGATTTTTAATGATAAATTCTGAATAATTTTAGATATTACACTTCAGTTTAACATATGTTTGAATTACATGTAACTTATCTCCTATCTGGTGATTCCTGTTATATAGGATGGTTATTCTATAGGTAATCAACCTATTCTGGGCAGTGTGGGAAGGTGCAATGGGTTCACCACAAAATAAATTTGTTTCATGATAATTCCTTGGAGCTGTCCTAAACAAACATTTGATTAATTTTAGCAATCTAAAATGAATATTTCAATCGTTATGCTGTGATTTAACTGTTAAGCTCACTTTTGGATGTGTTTGTTTTAGGAAAGGATGATGAGCCAATGGTAAAACTTCTGTCTAATTCTCATTCAATAAATCCTGAAAATGACAATAGGAAGAAATCAAACTTCCTAGTATCGTTTACAACAGAAGAATGGCGTGTAAGTGTATTATAATTGTAAAAAATTCTATTTTTAGTGCCAAGTATTGTAGAAAATATTTTAAATTGTAAGGTGACAATATCCATTAAGGAAATATACAATTATTTTTAATTTATTATTGAAGTTTTTTTCATCTAATTGTAATTTAAAATGTTTAGTTTAATGTAGAAATTATCAATAAATTTCTCAATTTAAAGTAGTTTGATCAGCAGAAACTGTGTAGAATGTCATATTTTTATTATACTTTTTTTTTTATATTGCATGCATCAGCTACTTTTTCAAAAATTAAACCCAACCTTAACTTTTTGTTTGAACTTGGTAATAAGTTTCCCCTGAGAATAATACCCTTACAGCTTTCATTTAAAAGAAATTTTAAATTTGTGATTTAAATATAGCATTTGCTTAACTGGTTTTCACACTGAAACTTTCCTTCAAAATTGAAGGTTAATTTAATATTTGTTAGGATAATTAACACATTAGCTGCAGTTATGGTCCCCCGCGTCCTTTGGCTTTATATCAGATATAATGATTATTTACGTTTGTATCTATCTTTATATCTATCCAACTCCCATTCAAATATTTTTAAAAATGACTATTTTAGAGACTTCGTAAGATAGGCAAAATTCAAAACAATCCCGGCCAAAGTCGAGGCGAATATCGAAACCCGGGGACCGTAAGCACAGCTAACGTGTTATAGAAATGTTATTTGTTCCTTAGAAATGTGAGACTAGTGGTTTTCTCAATAATTTTCATATAAATTTATTTTTATTTTTGATAAAAATAAATTAATGATTTATTTATGATAAACAACCTTCTTTAGGTTATTCATATTTTTTTATAAGATTTTTCAGTAATGATTTATATTTAATCTATATATGATATATATATGATTATTTTTTAATGAAAACCCCTTTTAGTCTCACAGTCTTTTATTATAATTTTAAAACATGTTTACCATTTTTAAAACTTATTATTTTTTAACATTTCGGCTCCAAGAACCATTTTCAAAAATTCTTTTTCTTTTAAAAAACAAAACATCAGTCATATTAAAAACATTATTACTAAAAATTTCTTAAAATATATCATTATATAGAATACTACTCTATGGTA